AGTAAAATTCAATGAAGATTAATGAATTGTCATTAAACTCACTTCAGTTGAGGAACATTGGCAATTTTGTCAGAGATACTTGGGTTTACCATTATTAGTTTCCTCTTGCTGCTATTATAAATTGCCACAAATTCAGTGGCTTAAAACACAAATGTATTATCTTATGCTTCTGGAGATCAGAAGTTCAAACTCAATCTCAAGGCCAGCACAGCGATGCACACCTGTAATCCCAGTGACTCGGGAGGCTGAGACAGGAGGATTGTGAGTTCAAAAAGCCAGCCTCAGCAAAAGTGAGGCACTAAGCAACTCAGTGAGACCCTGTCTCTAAATAAAATACAAAGTAGGGCTCTGGATGTGGATCAGTAGTTGAGCCYCTGAGTTCAATCCCTGGTAACTGCCCACCACGCCCCCTCACCCCAGCCCAACACCAAAACAAAAATCAACCTCAATGGGCTAACATCAAGGTAATTCTTTGAAGAGATTCCATGGGGAATCTGTTTCTTTACCTTCTCTGACTTCTAGAGGCTGTTTGAGTTTCATGGCTTGTAGGCTCCATCTTTAAACATCTCTCTAACTCAGGGTCCTGGTAGGCAAGTACCCTACTGCTGCGCTACTGGTCCTCTTTTTATAAAGACCCGGTGATTATATTGGACCTGCCTGGATAACCCAGAATACTCACTCACCTCTAGATCCTTAACCTAAACACATCAGCAAAATCCTTTTTGTAATTAGAGGTAACATATCCACAGGTTCTGAGGATTAGAGGTAACATATTCACAGGTTCTGGGCATTGTTGAGGACCATTATTCCATCATAGGTATGGAGCCACATAATGTTTTTTGAGGCAAATAATCTGTTTGAGAATTGAAATATGTCCCATTCCAGACTACACTGGTGACTTTAGAGAARGGTCAGCAAACTTTTCCCATAAAGGACAGATAATGCACATCGGTTGTGATTCAACTCTGCATTGTAATGTGAAGAGGGCATAGGTAATGGAGACACAAGGAGCATGGCTGTTTCCAATAAAAATTTATTCACAAGAACAGGTGGCAGGCCAAATTTGACCCTTGAACTATACACCTAGCTTAGACCCAGCTAAAACAAAAGAGTTCTGTTTACCATTAACGTTGAAGTCAAGTATGCAGGACATTTAGATATTTTGATGAAYGAAAATGAAAAATTAGCCAAAATGAACTTGGTTTGCAAATTTGGAATTAATAAATATTAACTAGGCAACTAGGCAGGTATTTGGGGAACCAGGCCCCAACTTTTCCTGGTATTTTCCAACAATGTGAAACCTTTCAAAAACCAGCTTAGTGTCTCATCTATATAGAAGACTAAGATCCTGCTTCTAGTAGAATATAGATTTTTCTAGCTAAATCCAAATTGCAATAGCTTAGAGATTTAAATATAAATGTTTATAGAATAATATTTGTTAATTTTCAAATAAATTTCTGATCAGTACATATGTGTAATTAAATGTATTCTCACTCTATTGCTAAATGGAATAAATTTCTTTAAATGATATTTCAAAATTAGTCTACAAAAAATGTAGGTATCTTTGGAACATTCTTTCCTGTTTGTGTCAATTTCTCAATGTAGAATTATTTGTCTTTGACTCTATTCCTTCTGAAATAGGCAGATGCTACTCAGCTGGCGTGGGTGTCTCTGAGGGATACATGATATGGGTTCTGTGAATGTTGAAAACTAATCTGGGCATAGTGGCACACACCTGTAATCCCAGCAGCTCTCTCAGAGACTGAGGCAGGAGGATCACAAGTTCAAATCTAGCCTCAGCAATAGCAGGGTGCTAAGCAACTCAGTGAGATCCTGTCTCTAAATAAAATACAAAATAGGACTGGGGATGTGGCTCAGTGGATGAGTGCCCCTGAATTCAATCCCCAGTAGCCCCCACTGCAAAAAAAAAAAAAAAAAAACCAGCTTCAGCAACTTAGCAAGGCCCTAAGTAACTCAGTGAGACCCTGTTTCTAAATATATATATATTAAAAAAGGGCTGGGGATGAGGCTCAGTGGTTAAGCACCCCTGGGTTCTATCCCCAGTACCAAACAAAACAAAACTGAAAACTAAAATCAGTGTTGTTGCTTGGATGAGCTGCTGTGACTGAAACATTGCTGGAAGGATGCTGATGGAAACAGAACAAGCAAGGAAGAAACAAGCCCCTGCCTCGTGCAGTCACATCCAGCCTCTCAGCAGCACCTCCTGTCTTTGGAACCTAATAGGAAGGTGGCAAAGCAGAAATGGGATTTGCAAGTCTCAGCCCCAGCATCACAAGGCAGAGCCTGGAAGGTTAGGTTTGAAAGTGAGAGGCAATAATTTAATAAGAAACAGAGGCCTAAAACACTAGAATTCCCAGTACCCAGATGAATCTGGAAGATCGCAGAAAGAGACCAAAAAAATCAGTGAAGATATGGTGGCATTTTGGAGAGAGGTATGGTTCTAGGTGGTTATCTAAAATTGTCCCTGAAACTGATGAGCGAAACAAAACGTGAGAGGCATTAACTTAGACCACAATGTAATGGGATGTTTATTTAAATAAAAATATATTTTATTTGTATTAAATTGCTCTTTATAAAAAGCTTTGGGCAATGCCAGAAATTTAGTAAATGCTGAATAGTGATAATTGTTCATCTTTGAAGTTCTCTGGTGATCAAGATACAAAGATCAGCCTGGGCCATTTTGTTGGGCAATAACTGAGAAGGTATCAGGGCTCCTCTAAGCTCTGCTTTCATCCTGGTACTTTACCACTGTTGCATTTCTCAGTTTCTTTGGTGGTTAGCTCTCAGCAGGTGTGAACTGTTCTTCTGTTTTTCAACTGTCCTCTTGTTTCACTCCAATTGTTCTATATCGAGAAACATTTTTAAAAATTGGAAATGTGTCTGGAAGAATAAAGTCTTGGAGGAAATCAAAGAAACTTATTTTTTGAAAATCTAATGAGCAGAGAGAATAGATGGAGGAAACAATGGTTAGTTACCTGGCAGTGAAAAGGAAAGAAGAGTTGAGAAAGAAAGATAAGGGAGATGATGATGATGATAATGATGATGATGATGATGATGATATTGTTGGATTAAAAGAGCAACAGACTGAAAAAAAATAGGAAACAAAGGAATCAAGATCTCTAACTGGGATAAAGGACACAACCCAGCTCTGACAGTTTTAGAGGTAGTGTATTGTATTAATGTTAAAATGCCTTTTCCCTCCCACAAATAGGATGCATCTTATAAACAAGGAAAGCCTGAGCTTAACTGGCAGTATTCTTTCTTAGTGGTTCATAGAAGAATGGGTATTTTACAATTGATGGAATTGAGATTAAAATATACTCATCTGAAGAGCTACTGTTCATGTAGGTAAGCAGGTATTTAAAATGCTACCTTTTTTCATATTTTATTGGTGCCTTTGAAAAATAGGTAACAATTGTGGAATATTTATAATATACCAAATCTACTTTGCAGAATTAGAGAAGGGATCATCCTTGAATAATCTCATCAGTGAACATTTCAATATTTTCATGTTGATCACCATCTGTGCTGATTCAAAATCTAATTCACATGGCTATGTGTAGGAGGAGAATACAAGCTTATCATCCCTTTAGAGGGGGAAAGGACAGCTGCTATTCATATATATATATATATATATATATATATATATATATATATATATATATGTATGTATTGGGGACAACAGATGCAATCCATAACCATCTGTGGTTACTCTAGCTATATACCCTTCCTTTAGGAAGTTTAATACTCTTGAGTACCTCACCAAGGAACAGCGAAATGCTAGATAAATCAAAATCTTTGTAACTATGTCACTGCAATGGAAGTAATAAAATGAACCTCAAAAAAAAAATATGACACAAAACACCTTGGAAGGATAGGATGGGTGAATCCTAGCTGTCTTCCCAAACCTGGAGATATCGAACTCTTAATTTGCTAGTAGCACAGAATGCCAAAGTAAGAGATAAAGCCAATGTCTGCCAAGAAGGAGACCAGAATAGGGTCCCCTCTGATAAACTTGAGTCTTGAAAAAACTATGCCTGCAACATACAAGTAAATAAGGGACAATTCCCACCACACAAAATGCAGAGGAGTCCACAACCACCCACACCTATCTGCAAAGTGTCACTGTGCCCCTCACTTGAGATTTGCAAATCTCAAGCAGGCTTTTATACAGGATTGTGCTGTGAAGTTGCACTAACTGCACAGCATCAAACCTCTTAAGTGAGAATGTAGTCCAAAGAGGTTTTGAGTGATGTTCTAGGTGGTTGGCAGAAGGTTTTTATAAAGCTTCTTAGGAAGAACTCAGTTTCAATTCAGGCCTCAGAGACTGTCCCCATATCAAGTTCTAAGTGGAGTGAGAAGCTTACAGTACAAATTCAAAAKACATATAAGGGAATAAAACACTATAGTTAAAAATTAAAGCTGGGCACAGTGGTGCATGCCTGTAATGGAAGCAGCTCGGGAAACTGAGGAAGGAAGATGGCAAGTTCAAAGTCAGCTTCAGTAACTTAGTGAGACCCTGTCCCAAAATAAAAAATAAAAAGAGCTGGGGATGTGGCTCCGTGGTAAAAGACCCCTGGGTTCAATTTCTGGTTTAAAAAAAAACACTAACAGAATCAAGAGATGGCAAATCATCCAGATATCGGAATTATCAGGCACAGCATTTTATTTATTTTTTTTTTAAAGAGAGAGTGAGAGAGGAGAGAGAGAGAGAGAGAGAGAGAGAGAGAGAGAGAGAGAATTTTTTTTTTAATATTTATTTTTTTTAGTTCTCGGCGGACACAACATCTTTGTCGGTATGTGGTGCTGAGGATCGAACCCGGGTCGCACGCATGCCAGGCGAGCGCGCTACCGCTTGAGCCACATCCCCAGCCCCAGGCACAGCATTTTAAAAAATATTTTTTAAATATTTATTTTATCTATTTATTTTTATGTGGTGCTGAGGATCAAACCCAGTGCCTCACACATGAGGCAAGTGCTCTACCACTGAGCCACAATCCCAGCCCCATGGCACAGCATTTTAAAAAACTATATAGGAAGAAATTCAATGCCCCAGAAACAAGTGAAAAGATATCCAACCTCAAGAGTAACAAGGGAAATGCAAATTAAATCCTTGATGAAATACCAATTCATACTTGTCAGATTGACCAAAAAAGTTTTAGATTGACATTCCCAGTTTGGCAATACCTCATATGTGCATGGAAACATGTGCATAGCTTCCATTTCTGGATTTTGCCCTAGAGAAATTCTGATGCATGTAATCCAGATGTGGACCAGAATGTTCATAGCAGTGTTATTCGTAAGAGAAAGAAAATAAACTGGAAATAACTCTAATGCTTACTCATATTAAAATGAATAAAGATGGTGTGTTCACACAATGCTGTGCTACAAAAGAGCAGTGCAAATGAATGAACCTGTTGTCATCAACATGAAAAAACTGCAAATATATTATTGAAAAAAAGAAGTCATATGAGAATACATGAAATATGAGTCCATTTATATAAGATAAAAAGGTAAACATTGTTTAAAGATGCATACAAACTTGATAAAATGAAAGGCAAGGAATAATTATTATGAAGTTCAGGCCAGTGGTTGACTGGGAGGGATGGGAGCAAGGAATTATGATGAAGGCAGGGAAACTGAGGGGTCTCTAAAGTACTTGGTAATTCATTTTCTTAATCTGGGTAGTAGTTACAAAGGTGTTCACTTATCATTCTTCTTTAAAATATACATTTTTACTCAGGAGTCTGAGACAGGGGGATTGCTTGAGTCTAAGAGTTCAGGCCAGCCTGGGCAACATAATGAAACCCAATAACGACAACAAAAAATATATTTTATACACAGTTTTGCATATGACATATTTCACACACACAAAAAAATGTAAATAAGGAATTCTCCTTACAGTCCTTCTTTACCCATGGAATCTGCTGCTAAAATTCTGTGCTGTTCACATTCTCAATGCCAGCTTCTTTAGCCATAGAATAAAAGGGGCCGTAGTTTTCCAGCAGTTCTTCCGGACTGCCATACTCCACAATCTTCCCATCATCTAGGACCATTATCCTGAAACAAAGAGGAAAGAAATAAAAGCCTTAGAAAGTACCAACTCAAGCTGAATGGTGGCACACACCTGTAATCCCAGAGGCTCGGGAGATTGAGGCAGGAGGATTGTGAGTTCAAAGCCAGCCTCAGCAAARGTGAGGTGCTAAGCAACTCAGTGAGACCCTGTCTCTAAATAAAATACAAAATAGGGCTGGGGATGTGGCTCAGTGGTTGAGCACCTCTGGGTTCAATCCCCTGTACCAAAAAAGAAAAAGAAAAAAGAAAGTAGCATCTCAAATCTTGGCATTAATAAGAATAACCAGGACCAGGTTGTAGTATAGCCAGACGAGGCTCCAAAGCAGTGGAAATGAATGAACCACAGCTATGGCATCAACATCTGTATGTAATACTGAGTCATAGACGCATATGTGCACATGAGTTCCTTTATATCAGGTCTTTCTTTTTTTCCCAAAGTACGCATTGTTTGAGGATGACTGATTTTAAAAGGGAGTCTTCCCCTGGGTCAGAAAAGGAAGCCTTTCCTCTCTAGCTTCTAAGACTATTGACCAGAGCAGGAAGAAACAGTCATTTTACAGGGCAGCAGCTGAGGCTCCAGATAGGGAAGGTCTATGGTCAACATGTGCCACTTATAGGTTGGGCTGCCACCTCCTCATATTCAGTTAATAATTATAATTTCCTATTTTACTTTCAAGATGGTCCCCATGACCCAGTTAGCTTTCATAGTTTGATGTGTAATTCTGGCCAAAACTTCTTGAAATCTCTAGGCCTCAGTTTCATCAGTAAAATGATGGTGGTCATCCCTTCTACTCTAAGGTATTCCATGGCAGACGTGGTCACCGCTGACCAAGGGTTACCCCTCACTCACTTGTCGCTGTCCATGATGGTATGCAGCCGGTGGGCAATGGTGATGACTGTGCATTGGGAGAACTCATTTCGGATGGTTGTCTGAATGAGCTGATCTGTCTCTAGATCCACCGCAGCGGTAGCCTCATCCAGGATCAGAATCTTGGATTTCTGAAGCAGAGCCCTGCCCAGGCACACTAGCTGCCTCTGTCCCACACTGTCACCAACAGAAGAAACCATGAATTATCCCCTGAGCACCAAGGAAAATCCTGAGACAGGGACAGTTTCATGTTCCAGATTAGACTTTTCAAAACTCCCATCCCAAATTTCCCCATCTGTTATGGTTGTGAGCAACAATTTTCAAATTTTCCCAATTAGAAGTACCATAGGAACTTAATTAAGAAAAAAAATCATGCTTTTGGCCTTCACTCCACCCAGTCAGAATGGGGGAGAGGCCTAGGTACATATGAGTTTAATAAGCACCCCAGGCAATTTTCGTGTTATACAAGTTTGGAAAACACTGGCCCCAAAACAGTGCTTTGCATTTGGCTACAGTGATAGCAATGACCATTGCAAAACAACAGGAATGCTACCAAGTTCATTTCAGCAGTATTTGATCTGACACCATTAATATAGGGTGGTCCTGCACTAGAATGCCCCAGTGGCATTTCTTTGTGGCCTTAGCAAATCCATTCATTATTTTAATGTGTAATTCTAGTCTCAAGGCTAATTATTTGTTCAAGGCCTTCTGCCTTGATTAGAAACAAAGCAGTCTAATGAACACAATGTCTTGGGGTGAGGTGCAATGTATGTGGAATTCGAACATGCTTGTAAAATGCAAATAACTGTAATTTGCTAAAAGTCTGTAATGAAGGCTGGACCTCTTACTTACATAAAGAAGCTTTGGGAAATGATGTGAAGGAAATATTCAGGAATTTGCTAATTGTTCTTTCCTGCTGTGGCCATTAGGGAACATATTAAACAGAGGGTGGCTAGACTAAAGTTCTGTAATTTTCTATAAGAAAATTTCTGCAGGAGATGAGAAGTCACCCAAGATGAACTTCCAGTATTTGTYGTCTGTAATGTAAGATCAGAGCCACTGCAAAACTGGCTACTGAGCTTGTACCAAACTCCAGCCTAAGTCAATTGGACTTTATAGTAACTGACTGTGTTGAGGTACCACTTTGGCTTTCAGCGGCTCTCTCCACACTGATATATCCAGCATTTACCACATATATTTATTTTAATTCCCCAAACTAGGACTGAAATCAAGGTTTTAGTAATACCATTTGATTGCCTCCTAGCATGAACAAGAAAAGCATGGTGTGATTTTTATTCTTATAAAACAGAAGTGTTGCTTTCACATCCTGCATGTCTCCTCTGCAATATTGATAGCAGTGGCATATATTCCCACAGGTCTGTCTCCTCCACCACGCTGTACATGCTAGGAAGTCAGGGATTGTGTGGGCGCCATTTGCCTCTGTATCTCTAGTGCCTGGCACACAGTAGGTGCTTATAGCCTATTTGTTGACTGGATGTTTGAATAGTCTTACATCAAACTAAAGACCTACTGAAGTCCTGCTAGTCCTGAAGGAAAACAACATTAATGGTGCTTACTTCCAAGCCTTGCAAGTGTCCCCTGGGTAAAATCAGCTGGGGCATTGGATTTGTTGAGTTCCCTGGGTGATTCTCGCAGCTCAGTTGAGAGGCAATGCTCTAGGAATTGCTTCATAAGCTGCGACATACACACAAAACACTTGGCAATCTTGTTAAAGTACAGATTTGGATTAGTAGGTCCAGGGTTTGAGATTCTACACTTAAAACAAGCTCTCAGGTGAATCCAGAGCAGCCAGCCCATTATTCAAGCCCTTCCTTCCTCCCTAAGCTTCAACTAATAATGACCCATCCCCTGCCTCCCACTATCAAGGCACCTGGGGCAAGAACTGTCCAGAAGTATCAGGCTAGACTTCTGTGTGCAAAGGGGAAAACTAGATTGTTACATAGAAAAGGCCAGGTTCACATATTAATGGACAGATGACTATATAGTGATGGCTAGAAGCAAAATTGCAGCATATACAAAAATACTTGGAAACAGGAAAAAGACTGGGACAGCACAGAGAGTTTTTGTGTGGATTGAAAGTATTTTAATATTGCATAAGGACTTTGTAAACATTACATCCCTATCATCCATGTGCTCTTTAGATCAGCAGTTCTCAAACTGGGATGCCTTAGCAGACTGTGAGGACACTTTAAGCCTCCCCATATCCAATCTACACCTCACACTAATTAAACCAGACTCCAGGGTGGGACTAGGTATCAGGACCATTTTAATCCTGCTTGTTGTATACAGCTAAGTTGAAAATCTCTGCTTTCTGTGATTCTCCACAATAGTGGCACCTGTAAGCTCACATTGTGTACTGTCACATGAAGGTACATTTGAAAACACAGGTTTTCACAATTTTTAAAGCACTTTCATATCTATGTTATCATGTGATCTTCAGGACAGGTTCATTTTATGTGTTAGAAATTAGACCCATACAGTGAAAACTCTACAATATCTGATATCACCTCACACTGCCTGTGTGAGGTAGGTTATGAGACATTACCTCAGGTTGTCACCAGCCTCTGTCACTTCATGGGACAACCCAAGTGGCAAGCCAACCACAAAGGGTTTGAGGTGAGCCAACTCCAGGGCCTTCCAAATCTCCTCATCTGAGTATTTGTTGAAAGGGTCCAGATTCATCCTCAGACTTCCAGAGAACAAGATGGGATCCTGCAAGTTAAGGGGTGAGGGAGTAGTTAAGGTTAATATCAGCAAAGGACCCAGTTGTTCTTTGTGACAGGGAGAAAGCATGTACATCTGACCCGAGATGGACACATACCTTAGTCAGGAAGTTGGTTCATGGTTGAGTTTTTCTATTTCTTTAACTTTTTTTTTTCTTTTTTATCTTTTTTTTTTTTTTTTTACAGGGAATTGAACTCAGAGGCATTTAACCATGAAGCCACATCCCCAGTACCTCCACCTTTTTTTTTTTTTTTTTTTTAAGACAGGGTCTCTGTATTGCTTGCTAAATTGCTGAGGCTGACTTTGAACTTGCAATCCTCCTGCCTCAGCCTCTCAGGCTGCTGGGATTACAGGTGTGTGCCACTGCACCCGGCATGGTTGAACTTTATTTCAGTACAATGGGTTGAACTCATGTCCTAGTGCATGCTAGGCAAGCGCTCTTCCACTTGATCTACAACCCAACTCCATTTTTTAAAATATTTTTGTTTTCCAGACAGAGTTTCACTAAGTTGCCCAGGCTGGCATTGAACTTGGAATACTCCTGACTCCGGCTCCTGAATAGCTGGGGTTACAACAGTATGCCACCACACCCAGCACATTCAAGCTTCTGCAAGTCCTTTGAAGGCCTGGAACAGGTGCTAACCAGGCAGCTAAGCATAGGATGAAGAAAGATTCTTGGTTTGTTGCTATTTTTTTTTTCTTTCTGAGATTCAGTTATGAATTTCCAAACTTGCTATAGCACTATTTACAATGAGAGGAATATCCCTCTCCCTAATGAAAACTTGTGATTTAGAGGTAGAGGGATCAGGGGACGGTGGTACAGAAATGGATAGTAAAAACCCCTGCATAGCATTTATTATGCTTTGAGGGTGCCAGAGAAAAGAGTGGATTAAACTAAGCAAACCCCAGACAAATCAAATTTTCCTCCGGAGAAATGTGGCTAGAGTGAGCAGAGGGGGAAGGTTCTAAGGAGGAGCCACATTCCACTGGAGAGGAGAGGCCTCCATGGAGATACTTATGTGTAGGGTCCATAGAACAAGCCAATGGGAGTCTTTCTTGCTGACACACTAAGTGTTTTGCTTGCTGGCAAAAATCTGCAGCAAATTCCCTCCGCGTCCTTTAACCATATCAAATGGGGAGTATAAAGCTTAATAGCGTCAAGCTTCAGTGGCAAAACTGCTAATGCTGATTGCCAAGGTCTTGCAAACCTTGATGGGCTATAGAAATGCTAAATAATCATCTGCTCTATTTGACTTCTGTTGTGTTGCTGCCATCTACTGGTCGGACACCAGCAATCACAAATGCATATTACACAAAAATTGAAGACTTTAGCTTAGGTATTCTGAGTAGAGTGCAGGAATGATACTGCTAATTGAACAGGGATCAACATGCTTCCTGAGAACAAGATGTCTCACTGTGTGTGTCCAAGTAAGTTCTAGAGCTCACCTGGGGGATGATGGTCAGTTTTCCTCTAAGGTCGTGGAGCCCAATGGAAGCAATATCTATTCCGTCAATGGTTATCTGGCCACCTGCAGACTCTAAGATTCTAAAGAGGCAGTTTGTGAGGGATGACTTCCCAGCTCCTGTCCTGCCCACCACACCAACCTGTGAAAATAGTTGCATGTTAGTTCAACATACAATTCATGGAGAAAAGATTATTTAGCTTGGACTAAAAAATTATTTAGCTTCAATCACAGGGGGTAAGTGGCAGTGATTGGCTACTTCATCTCTGAAATATTAAATTATTATTTTTTGTAGTTGTTGGGAGAAAAACGTGCCCAGATGTCAGAAAAAGACAGCTCTCCCATCCTACATCATAGGTTATTGCTTGCTGAGAACTACAATGACGAGTGGAAATGGACACACTCTCTCAGCAGCTGTTGTTATTATAATTATTATTGGAAACTAAGAGCTACTAAAAAAAAAAAAAAAAGCTTTGCTTGGAAGTGGGGAGAAGGGAAGGATGGTCCTGCCAACCAGCTGAGAGCCAGACCCTGATTTGGAACTCAGCATTCTTACCCAGATTTTTGTTGTTGTTGTTTCTATTTTAGACCCCAAACCCTTGGAGAACAAGAGCACCAGAGGAAGGTGCCCAACTTTGCAGACCAGCAGAAGAAGTAGGCTGTTCTCTAGAGACAACCCTCCATGCTAATGTTCCCAACAATTCCTTCCCTGATACTCCCTTGTGTCCTCCCTGACATCTTTGYGACCAGCCGTGAATTTCCAGGAATTGAGTCCTGGTCAGCTGGAGGGATGCAGGAAATCTCTGGCTGGTATTACGGCCTCTGGTGGTGGCGGTGCTGTATCCCCTCGTGTCTCCAGGGCCAGCAACCTCTCCCTCCACCCAAATGAGGAAGGGCTGGAGTCCAGCTGCTCTCCATTCTGTGTCCTACTGTTCTCTATCACAAAGTCTCACATCCAGCCTTCCCTTGTGCCACTTACTTTCTCGGTGCTCTTGATGTCACAAGTGATCCCTTTCAGTACCAGATTCAGCTCTGGCCGGTACCGTACTTGGTAGTTGCTAAACCGGATCTCCCCTTTGTTGGGCCAATCTGCTGGAGGCCTCTTATCAGTCACCCAAGGTGCCTGGCAAGGGGACAGGATGAGAAGTGCTTTACACAGGGGCAGCTCAGCTGAACAGTCCTCATGGGACTCAAGTCACAAAACAGGTAGCAGTGTCCCAGCTACCTGACTGAACCGTACTTGTCTCCCAGAAGGTTTCTACCGTGTTCCATTAAAGAAACCCTGTCCCAGAAGGTTGCTCTATGGATCTCCAGAAAGAAGCCACCATTTAACTTGGTGCCTTACAAGACCTGACTTCCCCCCAACCACTTCGTATTATAAGTTTGAAGTAATTAGGTCAAGTGGGAGCACAGGAAACATTTTTTTAAAAAACAGTATGAACCCACGTGAAATATTTAGAAATGGAGATGCACTTTCAAAGGATCTGCATGGGCCTGGTCTCTGGGTTTCTCGAATTCCTCCTCACCTCGTTTTCCACGTTGATGTACTCATCTATCCGCTCTACAGCCACAATGTTGGTCTCMGTTTCTGATGTCATCCTCACTAGCCAGTTCAGGGTTTGTGTGATCTACAGAAAAACCAGAAGACTAAAAAATCATCCTGGCTCAGATATCAGCTCAATCAGTTAATCCAGGGCTCACTTTGTGCTCAGCACTGTGGTGGGCTCTGCGAGAGAGCGAGGAAGTCAGTCCTGGTGTCTTGAGGGTTGGGTAAGACCAGTAGGCTGAATGGCTGGAGAACAACTCAGTGCTCCACTGTGGGCTCCCATGAGGGGCAGTGTGAGCTTTGAATGGTTGGGGGCTAACACGGGGATTGAAGTAGAATCAGAACTCAGGCCTTCTGCCTGTCAGCTCCCTACTTTTTRTAGAAGGGGTTGCAGATGGATTTCTACAAATGGAGAAGAACATGAGAAAAGCTGGCTGCTCTCTCTGTTCTTGTTCAACCTTGACCTCAAAGGTGAGATATCCATGTGGCTCCTCTAGAGGCCAGGGGTTAYTCAGCTGTGAGCTTCTTTCAGAGAAAAAAATGGGAGTTTGCATATATGCACAGGGAATTTTTGTGGAGTGCATGATGATTAGAGAAAGGGAGCCACAGAGTACAGAGGGGAGGCACATGAGGACTAAGACTTTGTGTGGGTTGAACCATTCCTGATTTTTTTTGGTGGGGGGGGCTCAATTTAATGGTTTCCTGATTCTTTGTCTTATTTGTCTTGGGGGATAAAGGGCCAAAGTCACAAGCAACCAAGTGACTCAGGTGGATAACAGAGTCCTTTTGGATGCTCTGGCAGGATCACTGTGGGCCTTATTAACTTCTAATGAAGACAGTGCTGTATAAAACACACTTGGGGCTATGCAAGCCTCCAAATGTTAGTTCAAAGAGRTACCATGAAAGATGGTCAAATGATTTACTTATTGAACAAATATTTATTGAACAGTCACTGAAGGGCCAACTACTGTCTTAGATGCTAGGAAACAATAATGTCTGGCATTTATCCCCAGTCATGCTGGGGGTGGTGCTGTGAGATACATTATACGGTTTATCAGACTATTACTGTTAGCTCCAGTCGTTCTGTGATGTAAGCACAAACTTATATCACAKAATTATTTGTCCAAAGGATTTTCTGATTACTGCTATATTCTAGAGGAGAAATTTAATTATCTCTTTTTAAGGGAACCAACCAAAAGCAAAAACACAGGAGAATATTAAATTGAAACATAAGTTGCCTTCTTAAGCCCTAAGGCAACAACATTTATGTCTTTTTTTTTTTTTCTTGCAGTACTGGAGTTTGAACCCAGGAACTCTTTACCACTAAACTATAGTCCCATATTTTGAGACATGGTCTCACCAAGTTGCTGAGGTTGGCCTTGGCCTTGTGATCCTCCTGCTTCAGCCTTCCAAGTAACTGGGGTTACAGGTGTGTGACACCACAACCAGCTTATTTTTGTCCTTTTCCTAAGTGATATGGTGCCTTCTTAAGTAGGGTAGGGGTAAGAAAGAGATGGAGCCAGGGYTCAAATCTCAGTTTCTCCTAGTTTCAACTGTATAATATACTCCAGATTCAGTTTAAGAATAAGTGTATGAATTTACTCAAACACCCAGCCTTCAAACTCACATTGAGGGCATTGGACAGAACTAAGCCCACAGTGTCCCCATTCAGGGTGTCTTTATAAATAACCAGCAGCAAGGCTGAAAAGAAGATAATCAGGTTCCCAGTCAGCTCCAGGCGAATTGCAAGCCACCTGCAGGAAAACAGAACCAGAGAGAGAGAGGTGTCACCGATCTCTACTTCCTTACCTTGACCAGTACCCTGGGGTTCACAGAACATTCTCAGAGGGTGTGATTTGGTAGGGCTGTGCTCTGAGAAAGTGCCACAGTTTGATCTAGGAATATCTTAATATGTTCCTAAAAGTCCTTTAAATTGTTTTTTTTAAGATAATAAATGGCATGTCTGAGAAGAGTTTACTAACTAAGCGATCCTATAGTACAATGTCTCCCAAAGTCACCAAATTATAAGAAAAGCAATTGTTAAAAACATTACATTATAGATTCATGTGAAAAATTCCTGGACCCTTCCCTAGGAGATTTTGGCTCAGGAACCTAGGATGTGGTTTAAGAGTGTGCATTTTAAGCAAATGCTATAAGTGATTTCTTTTGATCAGGCCAAGAAAGCAATGCCATAGTGAATCCAGATGTATGGTTAAAAACAAGCACCACACGAAGGTTCAGTGTACCCCATCTGACTTGAGTATTTTTACGAGGCAGAGAAGCTAGGAGTGGAGGGAACTTAAGTGTGAATTCCATCACAGGGAGATACAGGGGGACTCTGTAGAGAACTACAGAATACATGTAATACAGACATAGCTTATGAAAATTGACTTTCTCAAATAAAATGGAAGTTTGCACCAATGATTCTAGCATGTGTACAAATAAATATGGTACATATTCCATCATGGGGGTCCAATAAGATTTACTTATATACCTTTTCCTTTTTAGAAAGCCGGTAAGAAATCCAATATCTTTATGATCAAATCTCTGACCTCCCAATGTTCCAAATAACACTGACCATCATTTACCTACCCTCAATGCCAAGACACTTTGGAAACTACTCAAGAATTGTTCCTTCCTGACAAGACTGTTCTCCTTCAAGGACATTGCTTCCCAGGGTCTATGATGCTCACAGTGCTCAGGGATTTGCCTCACAGGATRTGAGCTTTCCATTTCTGCCATCAATAGATTTACCTAAAAATTCTCAGCTCTCCTCTCTCCAACCTCTACTGTTTTCACCACCGTAACAAAAAATATCATGTCTATGGAGAATCTCTTATCCATTCTCAAGGAAGCAAGTGGAGAATGTTCAGTTTATCCAGGGCTTATAGATGGGCTACCAAATGCTCAGAAGTGGCGTTTGACTTCCACCACAACCCTATCAGCAAGTTGTGTCCTAGCCATTGTGAAAGCAAAGGGACTTAGATTTTCCTTAGCAAGGTCAAGCAATTTACTTAGCATGGTAAATGGCAGAGCTGGCCTAGCGACCCAGTCTCTAGTGCCAAAGCATGACAGGTGTGTGTGGCCAAAATGAGCTTTACACCCTGGTCATGCCTGTCCTCCCTTGCATGGCTAATGACAAACATGCAGAGCCTGGAAGTACACATTTGGAATCATACCTGGGGAAACCTCACCTGTTGGATGTAATCCAAGAAAAGACACATTTTTGATTGGTGTCGATCCCGGCCTCATTTTGTTTTTTAAATCGCTTCTGGTGCTCAAATGCACGGATAACAGGCAAACCTAATACGGTTTCACTGAAATGAGAATAGATGGGGGACCTGGTGACAGAGTCCAGACGTCTCAGCTGGCGGGAGGTAGCCACATAAAATGCCTGAACACAAAAAGTGAAGAGTCAACCACATGATCCTGTTGCATATCCTGTACATCTTCCCTCTGGACATGACCCAACATTCCTCACTGGGGAACCAGCCCACACCTGAACATGAAGGAAACCTGAATCTTTGGCTAGAAGAAGGAGGAAAGATGCCCGAGGAAGAGGGCAATAGAAAGACTGCAGTTGGTGGGGAACAGAGGAAGATAAAAGTGAGGAGACCACACCTTAGTCGCAGGGGTTTGACTTTCAAAACTACAAGAATTGAGCACCTTGTCCATATTCTCCCCCTGACATCTGCATATGTTATCCAAATGAAAGTTCCTATGCTGGTTACATAAATGGTCTACAAAAGGATTTTGTAAAGGATATTTGGACCTAAGGAATTTAAAGTGGGGATGGGCAGGAAATGGCCAGAGAAAGGAATACAAGGTATGAGCAAAACTGAAGAGCAGAATCAATTGAGTAACCAAAATCATGCCTCAATAGTGTGTGAAGGTAAAATAGTTTTGGAAATGTGCAGAATGTTGAGGGTGTCAGAATGAGCTGGATATAACAGAATGCAGAAAGAATCTCCATGGCTTGAAGGGCAAGGAATGATGGAATAGATTAGTAGTGCTACTGGATTCTGTGAGGATTTGTTGAAACCTAAGAATAACTGGGCATTTGAGAGTTATTTGATAGAATGCAAAATGTTATATCTGGAAGTTTCCTCAAATAACCCTGCCTCTTATTTGCTGAATTGTAATGGGCCGTCAGAAGGCTATTATGAAAACGCTGGTGCACCTGTGGAACTCCATAGACCCAAACGGGTGCCATCTTACTACAGATCACAAGGTCATAAGCCCCCCCAAGACTGCAGAGTCTTCAAAATGGTTTTCTCTAGGTTAAGAATTCATCACAAAGGCAGCTAGTGGCACAAAAGCTCTTCTCACAGCTTCCCTCTCCTCATCAGTTTTTATTATAGCCATTTTAAAGTCCCTTCTAGTTTTTCTGTGAAGCTTGGCTCCCAAGCTATCTGTTCCCTTAAAAAATATGTTGAAACTGAGTCTAAACCATCCAGAGATACCCCAATGAAACTAGAAGTGCCCTTAAATGAAGAGATCTAGCTCCTGCTAACAGACATCTCTAAGTAAAGCTGCCTACCCAAAATCAAAAGAGGAAGCAGACATGACAAGTTCTTCTAGAAATGTCCTAACATCATGGAGTTCTTATGGAGCTGCAAGAAGTTGTCCAGAGCTAATCTCAGAGTGGTCTTGAACCTAAACATAAATCCATTCCACTTAAGGTTCTGGGGGTAGGTAGTCAGGCTGTGAAATGCTGTGAACCATAATGTACCAGTTGATGCTGACAATTGAGCTTCAGACAGTGGCCTGTGGGCTCCTGGGTATCAAGATATATGATGAAATGGCAAAGATGCTGGAGAGAAGTGACTAGTCACAAACAAAAGAGAGGAGTCTCAGAAAGGATCCTGGCTTTAATGAGCAGAGAGAAAGGCAGACCTACCCATTTCCAAATGTACCTGAATAGACACATAAATAATGCCAAGAGGAATGACGATGACGACGAAGATAGGGGTGGCTATGCAGATCATGACGATGATGCTGATTATTGACAGGAAGCACACAATCCAGCTGCGCAAGGACTGAGGGAGAGTGTCATCCACCGTGGAAATATCCTAACAATACAGTTAGGACAGACGATGAACCAATGAATTTTGTAGACACTGTATATCTTCCTGGTTCCAGAGAGGCATCTGTTCAATTCTGGGTTTCCTGACACTCCTTCATTTAATCTTGTTAAGATATTCATTTGCAATAGAATATACTACTCATCCTAATAAGAAATCTCATTTTAATAACTTCCTCAGTTTTTAAAGTACCTCCAGACAGACCCAGCAGTCATTCTTCACCTTTTCCAGTACAGTTGACAAAGATTTTCACTCATCATCCATCAAATTTATTAAACAATTCATAATTATTATAAACCAATAGAGGCTTATAATCATTCTCTAATAACTAACCAATTGAGCTATTCTAACCTTATAAAGGTCCTAATTCTATGGAGTACCTAGAACAGAGAGTCTGGGATTCAATACACATTTGTTGGGAAACTCCAGTTAACAAACCCTGTCACCCACCCTTGACTGAAGTACCATCCTATCCTGGAAAGTTGTTTCCTCTGCCAAGCATAGAGCCTCAGAGGAAAGGGATTGAACATGATTCCTGACTGGCCAGAGTTCCAGCTAAGGAACCTAGAGGTGATAGAGGGGTCTTACTGCCATATTATTTTCATACCATGCAAAATAAATTTTAAAATGAAAAGATTAATGGATGGAAGGATGGTTTGGAGCATACTCAGGAAGCCTGGCTTATATCTTAGGTTGCCCTTGCCCAGCTTTCTTAGAGGATTATATTGATTCTATCTGTGAGTGCTAAGGTGAGTCTAAATTATCTCTGGAGTTTCCCCAGATTGCATCAGGGATAATGTTCTTTCAGGAGAGCTCTGAATTGGGGATGACTCCTTAGTCTAATCTACCTTTCTCAAAGTTGTATCAGAATACAAATATGTAACTATGTCAAGAGTTGGCAAAAAACAAGAAACCTTCACCAGCTGTCAGTTCTATGCAGATCACTTTTGATCCTTACCTAGCACAGATTCCCCATCTTTCTTTCTTCTACCCTTTCTCCTCTTAAAGACAGCCACTGATTCAGAAAACCCTAGATCAAAATCCCCATTTATAAGCTTGAGCCACCTCCCCTGCAAAACTTACTATATGATTAATGATAGTTTCTTTTTTTTTTTCATGAAATGCAGTCAGCAAAATACGACTACAGCCTAACTAACTCACACATTCTCTTTTCCAGAAGATTAATCAGATACCTTGATGGGGAAGACTATGAAATCTTTGCAAAATCCCCATCCAAAAGTTTATGCTTGCTTAGGTTCCATTTAGAGAAGAGAGTGCATGGAAGTGGTCTCCAATGACAGTATGCTCCTCATTTCTACCCCACAGGAAGGTGACAAATGGGAACCAGTTACCTGCCCACTTTTGAAGTGGTTGCTGTTATCTCTAGAACCTGGCTGTGAGGTATGAGCTACCCTTTCTGTGTCTGTTCCAAGGCCAAACAAAAAGGGTTCAGAGCTTCTCAGACATTTTATAAAATGAACTCTCAAGTAAAGAAATAAAAAAATTGTGCTGATGCTTGAATATCCTTCAGAATTGCCTGGTTTCTGCCGTATTCCTGAAACTTCCACTCATATGCATTAAAAAAAATTCAGTGAATTAGGTCTGGTTCATGGTTCATAGTCATCTATAATCTTAACATTTATTGAGTGCCTAGTGCAGTACTTGGCTCCATAAAAAGGCACTCAGTAAATGTTGGATGAAYGAATGCTTGCCAATGGTTCCAGCATCTGTGGTAGATGGAAACAAAATTTGAGAACCTCCTTAAAACATAGATAGCTCTAATCCACATTCGGACCTCACTCCCTGGTTCTTAAATCATCAAAGATGGAAGCCTCAGGAATGACAGCAGATATGAAGCAAAAGATGATCCTCCTATCACTTTTAATCACTGTCACAAGCAGTGACAGTGCTGTTAATTATGCTTTTTACTCAGCAGAATAATCCTTCTTACCCTGGTTCAACTCCCTTCATCAACTCCCTGGTTTACTTCTATGATTGAACTCAAGTCTCACCTTTTCTGACATTTTCCATTTCAGTCATCCAGGTTGAGCTCCTATCTCATTTCTCCATCATTCCTTTGTACTCCCAGAACACCTGTACACACTGTGGTTACTGGTTTCACCACATTCTATCATAATCCTTTATGTTTTGGGCTGTCTCATTCATTAGATGTAAGTGACAGAAGGGCCAGAGCTGTATCCCTGTATCCCTAGGATCTTTAGGACTTCACAGGAGGTGCTCAAGAAATATTTGCATGCTGAGAGGGCAAAAGAACAGTCTAGGGGGTACACAAGAAGTCCTTCTTATCAGAAATAGAAAGATMCTCAGTATATAAACACATCACTGTATAGCCCTTGAGATACTTACACCAGTAAACCTGTTCACAATCCGGCCTGTAGGTGTTGTGTCAAAAAAACTCATGGGTGCTCGAAGGATATTGTTCAACAGTTGTTCATGCAAGATTTTTGCTGCATTGTTGCAACCATACACACTCAAGAAAGTTCCTATAAACATAGATATACCTAGGAATGGAACCAAATTTTGTTAGCACCATACATGGAAATCTCTGAAGATTTATGCCCAGGACAAGCAAAGTACAGGCTGTTGTAGCTGTCAGACGTACCTTGTGCTATTCCCAGAGCTGCATAGACCCCAATTCTCATGTCCCTCTGAGAGGTTGGATAGTTAGTGCCATTGAAGGCTTGAGAGTCACCAGTCCAAGAACTGAGCCAGAAATTGGATCCAATAAAAGCCGCAGAATTCAATAAGAAGACAAAGATGATGCAGAATATTGAACACCATCCTACTGCTTGTAAGTACTTCAGGTAGACAGAGAACTTCACCTGCAAAGCCCCCACCAATGTTAGTAGATGCCCTAATGTGGTTTTTTGTTTGTTTGTTTGTTGTTGTTGGAATTATCCAGAAAAAYAATCACAAGGAGGAGTGGATGCTCTTGGGAAAATGTTGCAAGTAGCCAAATTTGATAATTTGTGGTCATCATCCCTGCACTAGGCTAGGATAAGAGATCCATGTTGAATTGCAATGCAGGGTAAACATCCATCTGATTATTAATGGACATCTAGAGGGAATTAAGAGGAGCAGGTATAATTTGGAATTTGTTTTAAGTCTCCTTAATTTTTAATTGTGTACTCTGGGTCCGCTACGTTAGTTTCCGGGCTTCTAAAACAGCATCTCAAAACAGTTTTGTTGTTCTCTGCATATCAGAATGGGAATCAAGCCCTCATGAAGGATGGAGTGAGGATATTTACAAGGAACATGTCATCTTCATAGAAGGCCTACAGCCTGTGTTGTTTTAATAATGAATCTGAAGAATTACAAAAGAATTGAACATATTTTCCCATAGATAAGTAATCGAGTTTAAACTGATTTTTAAAATGTTCAGATTCTAAACCCTATATCCCCTCCCATGATATTTTTTTGGGGGTGGTGTTCACCTTTCCAGTTTCCATGAATTCCTTCTTAATTAGCTTTTGCCCTTGTACTACTCCTTCCTTCCCCTTCAGGGCACTCCCATTCCGAGTTTTCAACGAGTTTTTCAGGGTTTTCTGGTTCCGGCCACTGGACCTGGAGCTGAGAGACAGAGGGAAACTCCCCTGAGCATGTAGATGCTTCCTCCGGGTCTTCTTGCAAACTGAGGTCACAGTCACTCTGCTGGCATGGAAGCAGATGGCTGTGGGAAATGGACACAAGCCTAGCCCTTCATACAAGGAAACGAAGGAAGAGCTAGGAGAGCCCATGGCATCCCTCTTCTCAGGAAAATCCCATGGGAAAAAAGAGATCAAGCAGAAATAGGAAGTGATAAAGGCTGCCAGCTGGATCAGTGGTATACCTGCGGCTCAGTGTTCGACGGAGGCTATTCTCTCTTTTCATGGTCAAGGAGGCAGCTTCCTCGGGGAGTTCCTCCACACCAGCTATCAGCCCACTGTCGTCATTTTCTTCTTCACTATCATCATTGACTAGAGAGACACGTTAGAGGTTAGGGAAACGGCACAGTGTTCACAGAGAAGGAACAGACAGAATAAGGACAGAGAAGCCTTCTCTGATCTTGTTGGATTCAACACAGGGATCTCAGATATACAAATAGGCTACAATAGGAGAAGAAAAGCCCAGAGACAAAAAATTCCTTTGGAGCAGGAAAGAACTTTTAAGAATTATTGTAGATAAACAGAAGAGTCGCCATTCCTAGAATTGCCTAAAGAGATGATTATAAATTGGAAATGCTAATATCAAAGTTCAAAGAATATAAGAAGCTCTTATTTATTGAAAACATTTTAAAAAGCATACCCTGAAAGTAAAATAAAATGTAGAATATAATATGGAAATTAGTGGAAATAGTAGAATAAGGATCTCCGGAAATCTGTTCCTCCATAAAAGCAATGAGAATATTGTTAAAAAACATTATCAGAATCAACTGTTTCAGAACTCTGAAATTAACCAAAGAGTTGCAACAATAAAGGATCAATTATTTTTTAAATAACTGGGTCTTGGCAAAAACAGTCCACCTTATAGTGGTTTGAGTTGCCCTATTTCCATTTCTCTCTCTCCAGCTGCTGTATCCTAGAAAGCCAACAGCCATAAAATTATGGTGGCCATAAAACCTAGTAGCCCAGCAGCCACTTAAGGAAATAGAGTAAGTTTAGAACGCCTCCTCCCCTTAAAAAAAAAAAAAAAAAAAAAACACTGGCGGTGAATTGCCATTATCTCACCTGTCTAGAACTCCCTGAAAACCTCCATTCACAAGACTTGTCTTTATTTGACCTCAGAGCTAGTTCAAACAATCATCAGCAACTGTTTAACATCACAGCTGCCTGAGGGGATGGTAACAGTTGAGGCCATAAGAAGCTGATCAAAAAATTAAATGGAAAATTTGGGGAATGAGATGTCCTCCACAGAAGTCTTTGATACTTCTGATATATTCCTGGCAATCTAGGATGCCACACACATATGTAGGGCTATGAATATGCCCAGGAAAGATTGCAGAAGGCCCTAGTGTCTCACTTCAGATTGATCTTGTTACTTTGTGCAAGCAGGAAGCAGAGGCTAACAGGGCATGGTGGCAATGTCTGTAATCCCAGTAAGTCAGGAGGCAGATACAGGAAGATTATAAATTTGAAGCCAGCCTCAGCAACTTAACAAGGCCCTATCTCAGTGGTAGATTGAACCACTGCGTTCAATCCCTTGTACCACAAAAAATAATAATAAAATTATCAGTCCCATTAACTGTTAGATGACCTTCATTTCACTGAGGAAGTAAAGGCTAAGGCACTGATGTAAAGTGTCACAGTGCTGAAGCTATGCACCAACATACACAGCCTCTCAGCAACGGCTATGAGACTTACTGGTGCCAGGCATCCAAGGAAATCTCTGTCTAACCAATAGGTGACCACTATGCCAACCAAGCAGAGATTTCAGTGGCCACATATGACAAATGGAACAAACTTAATTAAATTAGCTCAGAAAACTAAACAAATAAATAGAAGAAACAACAGCAAATAGCACTACAATGATTGCCAGTCAACTACCAGAAACTAGAGGAGAGGCCTCAAATGGGTCTTCCCCTAGCACATTAAGAAAAAACAAATCCTGCCAACACCTTGCTCATGCCCTTCTACCTCTAGAAGTGTGAGCAATAATCTCTCTCTCTCTCTCTCTCTCTCTCTCTCTCTCTCTCTCTCTCTCTCTCTCTCTCTCTCTCTCTCTCTCTCTCCCCTGAGGATTGAATCCAGGGCCACTTAACCACTGAGCTCATCCTCATAGCAATCATCTATTTCGTTTAAGTCATCCAGACTTGTGGTATTTTGTTACAGTGGTTAACTGGGAAGCTAAGTCACAGAACAAATATTAATATAGCTCAACTTACCCTCCCTTCATGCCACTAAGTCCCAAATCTCAAAACAAAAACAATAACATGCTAGTAAACAGGGCTCCACTGTTGATGGGAGCTAAACAATAAACCAAATGGTAGTGATATCAGGGGCTGTTCCCATGGAATGCTGTGATTCTATATAACTGACACTATTTTTTATGATTCAAAACCCAGTGTTTTTAGTATATTAATCAAGGTTCCTTTGTTAAAGCTTACCAAGAGTTTGATATCACACTATTAGCACCAGCTTATGAGGTTGTCCAGGAACCGATTTTAGTTGAATTTGGGGTAGTTGGAATGGTATGTGTCACTTGAATCAACAGAAGCATAGCATTGGGCTGGGGATGTGGCTCAAGCCGTAGCGCGCTCGCCTGGCATGCGTGAGGCCTGGGTTCGATCCTCAGCACCACATACAAACAAAGATGTTGTGTCCGCCAAAAATTTAATTAAATATTAAAATTCTCTGTCTCAAAAAAAATTTTAAAAAAAGAAGAGGCATAGCATCCCTAAAAGAGTTTTGTGCCACTGATATGCTTTTCACAAGGGTTACTTACCCAAAAACTTCAGTTGTACCCTTTAAAGAGTGTCCTTTGATTGTGTGTCAGAGAGAGATGAGCAGAATGAGCCACCCATTTGGCCTAGGCACAGAATTTCAATGTCTGTGTTTCTTTACCCAGAACACTGAAGAACAGAGTCTGAATCTCTGAGTAATTCAATTCCAAGTGCAGTTCATTGTATACTAAACAATTTGTGAAGTAGATATTATTTTACCATTTCCACCCCGGCCCCAAGTTCCAACCTGTTCCAATCCTCCTTGCGTACCTGTGACCTCCCCTTCAGGACCCGAATATTTTACAAAAGTCTTCAGATTCTTAGCAAACACTCCTTTCTTGGCCAGCAGGTCACTATAGGATCCTTTCTCCAAGATGGTGCCATTTCCCACAACCACAATCTGATCCACTTGGGGAAGAAAGTGAATGCTATGTGTAACTAAGAGTCGAGTCTGTAAAAGATAACATTAAGTTGTGCTGATTACCCTATGTCCATCATCTTCCTGGATTACTTTAAAAGGGAAAAAATATGTCAATTCACACTGGGGCTTTGCTTCAAAATGTGGCCCTGACCACTTGGCTTATTTTGCTTCTTTCATTCCCAGCATCTCATCTTAAAACCTGAACCTATATGTGAAATGAGACTCCTATCATTGTGGATGTACTCAGAGATATTTTCCTGTAGTGACAATAAGGTTTTCCCTACACATTCTCCTCTTTTCTAATTCCTCTGACAAGATTTGGGTATTCTCCAATGTTCCCACTTTAGTCTGTACAGGCTACCATTAAAACAATTCTTGTTTTGTAACATTATGGCTTGTTTTTTTATTTTTTTAATGTCTTCCCCTTGGATTGTAAGTTACATGAGAGCAATGACCAGATATTTCTATCTAGACATGTCCCAAATCTGGCCTGAGGTGGGCATTCAGTTCATGAGTGAATGAAACCAAGAAATCTGTAAGGACACAAGCCAGGTCCAGGAATAGGAGAGACAGAGAGTTCCTGCTGATCCACAGATCCAACAGAGAGGCAAAGGACCTCAGTGGAATAGCAGCCCAGGTCTCATCAACTCTGCTGTCCTGTGACTAGTAGCATTCAAGAAATCTTGTAGGGAACAGGCCAGATAGAGTTAGAATCTCCTTGCCCAACACCAGTGGAAAAGCTCTCATCAGCAGAGGGGCTGTGTCAGCTCTCCCCCAATTCAGCCCACTGTGTTAGGATACACATGCCAATTTTCCCATAGTAAGGAATGTCTGGTCTCCTCCCACAACCAGTTCTACTGGCTTTCACCAGCCACTTCATCTGTATTATATGACAAGGTCATTGCAAGAATCAAATGAGACCATGCAGTTAAAAGGCTCAGTACAGGCCAGGGACATAGGGAATACTCAATAAGCATTAGGTCTTATTTCTGGGTTCAGGTTTAGCCATCCTTTCCAGGAATATCTTCTCACATCCTGCAAAAGCTCCAGGGAAAACGCCTTCTTAGAGCATAGCTCTAATACCTGCAGGATGACCTGTGTTCCACTACCGGCAAGTGAACTGTTGAGCCTCTGGGGTTTTTCCTGACACTGACCAGTTCTCTGACACCAGGTGAGTGTCCAACAATTCAAAATTAAATTTTGACACTAACTATCTGGAGTTTGCACAGAACCCCAGTTTAAAGGTTCAGTCCCACAAAATTGCATCCCCCTTCAGATGTTGGTACCAAGTCTCATAATTCTGACCAAATGCCTATAAGTTGGAGGTTCCCACAACTCCCTTTTGTCATTCCATAATTTTCTAGAAAGGCTCACAGATCTCAGGAAAAAACTACCTAAACATTTGTCAGCTTGTAAAGGATACAACTCAGGAATAGTCAATGGAAAAGATACACAGGTTAAAAAAATAAAAAGGAGGTGTAGGGGGGTGCTGGGGCTGTAGCTCAGGGGTAGAGCGCCTGCCTCACATGTGTGAGGCACTGGGTTCCATCCTCAGCACCACATAAAAATAAATAAATAAAGATATTGTGTCCATCTACAACTAAAAAAACAAAAGTTACACAGGGAAAGCTATGGAGAAGGGATGTAGGGCTTTTCACGACCTCTCTATCCACACCACCCTCCAATACCTTGATATGGTCACCAATTTGGAAGTTATTCCAATCTCATTGTTCATGGATTATTATTACCCAATCTCCATGTTCTACCCCCACCCCACCTGGAGGGCAGTGGATAGAGCTGAAAGTTCCAACCTAATCACTTGTTCATGCTGGTAACCAAACTTGAGGCTTTGGAGGGGCTCTAACCTAAGTTATCTCATGAGAATAAACTCAGGTGTGATCAAAGGGGCTCATTATGAATAACAAAAGACCCTCCTAGCACTCTTAAAATTCCAAGGGTTTTAGGAGCTCTGTGTTAGAAACTAGGAACAAAGACCAAATATATTTCCTATTATAACCACAGGTCCATAGTACTTTATAGCCAATCATCCTAAGATGCTCAGTGTCAGAGCCACAAAATAAGGTTTAAATTAGCCAGTTCCAGCATAAGCCATGACCTCACCATGGAAGCCTTCCTGAGGTAGTCTATAAGGAGACCAGTCTTTCGCTCTTTCCTCAGGAACCCAGGGAGCAAGTGAATAAGAAAATCTGCTTCCGGACAATCACTGTCCAGGGAGATGTGTGTGATTCCCATCCCCTTGTCCTTAGATCTTCATCACTTTGAATAATCTCTCACCTTGCCATTCAACAGGCCACTGGGGCCCAAGACCTTTTCGAAAATGTGATTTCCTACATGCGCATCCACAGCTGACAGGGGGTCATCTAGAATATAGATGTCTGCATTTTGGTAAGTAGCTCTGGCCAGGCTAATTCTCTGCTTCTGACCACCACTGAGATTTATACCCTGAAGAAAAGAAAAAGAAGAAAGTTTTTAAATAATAATTTCTGAAGAAGAAAACAATTTCTAGTAAGTATTATTCCCTAGTCCCAACTTCACAGAGTCTAATAAGGAGGGGTAAAAGGAAGAAATTTGCCTCAAGAAAGTATTACGAGCATAAAAATCTTATGCTTCTTTATACAAATAAATAACTTGGATGCAAATAACTTTCAGTCCAATAGTTAAAGGTATGCACAATTTACATTTTCTATCAGATAATTTACTTATTTAACATTTTGTTGCTTTCCCAACCCCATGAGTATCTAGAACTACACCAGGGCAGATGTTTTCTCTATTTTGTTCCTGGATATAACCCCAGCACTTAAAATAGCGCCTTTCACATAGTTGCTTAATAAATGTATGCTGATTAATAAGCAAAATCACTCAAGAGCTGTTACTAGTCTTCTAGCACCTCAAGATCCTTGCCCCCCACCCCACCCCACCAAAGATTCATTTTCAGTAATAAAAGAATGGATGAAAACATCCTAAATATATAGAATAAAAAATATAAATAAATTAATGCTATGCTTGTATAGTTACTTAAAAATATAATTTTTATTTAAAATCTATTTTTATAAAAAGTCATTTAATAGCATGAGGCATTTAATAATACAGGTAAATCTCGGGCCACTCACTGTTAACTTAGCCTCTCAGTCCTTTGCCTCATCACCTTTTATTTAGGTTATGTAATTTCAATATTTGCTTCTAAGTACAAAGTTTTAAATTCTGACTTATTGCACAAAATTTTGTGGCCAGATAATACAAACACATTTTCTGGTGTTTGTTCCAAACACGACTAGCAATATTGATCAACTATGTTACTCTATGTACTTTGCCATCATCCTCATTTTTTTTTCTTTAATATCTTGTTGTCCCAAGTACCTTCTCTCCGATCTCAGCTAGGTCTCCTCCAGGCAAAATTTCCAAGTCTGGGAGGAGAGCACAGGCCTCCAGAACTTGCTTGTACTTCTTTTCATTGAACTCTGACCCAAAAAGGATGTTGTCCTTTATGGTGCCATTCTGAATCCAGGACTGCTGAGGGACATAGGCTGTGGTGCCCTAGACAGGAAAAGATCAGACCATGTGAAAGTTGTACCTCCAGAAATGCAGGGTTGAAGGATGAGATGGGCAGAAGTGGGAGGAACAAATAGAAGTTAGACTTGAAGAACTATGTGTCAGGCTGCTTAAGCATCTGATATTTATGAATGTGCTTATATTTATTGAACTGACCAGGGAGAAAGATTCAATGCATCTTTAAGCCTCCTCTTTTTAAACTATCATTTTTCTTGTCACAAACCTGAAAATCAGAAGATGAATGCACATGCTGCTTCTAGAATTGTGTTTTAGTTCAACTCAATGAGTATACTGGACCTACTTTCAGGGATTGCCATAGATGACATCTTAGGAAGCAAAAACTAAGAGGTTAGAATTAAGACACCAGGGAGTACACAGAGCAGATATAATCTGAAGAGAGATAAAGACCAACAGATGCCTGTGTTAAAAAACAACAACAACAAAAACAACTCAGTCCCCCAAAACCAAAGGCCATATGTTCTCTCTGATGTGTGGATGCTAACCTACAACAAAGGAAGAATAGAAGTCCATTGGATTAGGCAAAGGGGAATGAAGGGAAGGGAGGGTGGGGAGAATAGGAAAAACAGTAGAATTAATCGAACATAACTTTCCTATACTTGTATATGAAAACCAACCAGAATAACTCCACATCATGTACAACCACAAGAATGGGATCCTAATTAGAATAAGTTATACTCCATGTATGTACCATATGCCAAAATACACTCTACTGTCATGTGTATTTATAAAGAACAAATAAATTTTTAAAACACTCAGTTATGAGTTAGCAATAAAAAGTTTCCAAAAGGAATTGGGAAACAAAGTTAAATCTGTACAGTCATCTCTGTTGTAGTGCATTATTTTTAATGCAACTTAGCTCATTAGAGATTGGTAAATCAGGAAAGCATATCAGTATACTATGGAAGAAGAGATATTTCTTAAAAACTTCCAAATGGATCAACATAAAGCAACCCAGGACAAGCTTTCTCATAAGTGAAAAGAAAGCTTTATGTCTGGGGATGTAGYTCAGTGGTTGCGTGCTTGCCTAGCACACACAAAGCCCTGGGGTTCCATCCCCAGCATCATATAAAAATTAATTAATTAATTAAAAAAGAAAGATTTAGGCTGGGCACAGTGGTACATGCCTSTAATCCCAGCAGCTCGGGAAGTTGAGGCAGGAGGATCATGAGTTCAAAACAATCTCAGCAAAAGCAAGGTGCTAAACAACTCAGTGAGACCCTGTCTCTAAATAAAATACAAAATAGGGCTGGGGATGTGGCTCAGTGGTCGAGTGCCCCTGAGTTTAATCCCCGGTAACCACTCCCCCCGCCTAAAAAAAGATTAAGATTTGGCAATATAAAAAAATCTTAAAGGGAAAACTCCTGAAAATCTGTAGACTTGACTCTTTGGTGCAAGTATTGACTGGTTTAATAATTCAAAAATACCTCTAATTTCCTCCAAATTTAGCTCTCTGAGGAAGTTCAGAGTACCGATGGAAATGCCATGAAAACATTTTCTTGTGTTAAAAAAGTCATGAGTATGAAGGAGTCAACACCCTGTGACAGGTTTGTGAATTAGGAGCAAGTGTACTCAAAGATCTAGTTCTCAAAGAAGGAGGTGAAATGCCCAAGATTAATTGTGACTTTGGGTTGATGCTGAGTGCCATGCCAGTACTGATTTTACAGACCACTGGTTTTTTGTTCTTGCTACTGCTTCTGTTGGTACTGTACTAGAAATCCCCACTCTCTGAAGAAAGACGTCTCTAATGAATAGTTTTCACACTTTACTACACATATGAGAATCACATGGGAAGCTCATTAAAAATGCAGATTCTTAGAACCTATTCCCAGAATCTGATTATATAAGTTTGGAATGGGGCAGAGAGTCTATTGTTCACAAATCTACCAGATGTCTCCAAGGCCTCAACTACTAGTATATTCTCCCCTGTGAGGAAACAGCCCTAAATGGCCCATATTTGAAGGTCAGATGTCTTCTCCATTGGCATTCCCTCTCACCTTGATGGTGATGTGCCCATGGACATTCTCCATTTCTCCCAGCATGGCTGACATCAAGGAAGATTTCCCAGAGCCTACAGTGCCCACCACAGCCACCAACTGGCCTTCCATAATGTCCAGGTTCACACTGAAAGAAGCAAAATTATTTTGAAGACAATGAGGGCTTCGTAATCAAGAGTAGTTCAAGCCCTGACTCTCCATGAAGTCTGGTATTACGAGATTTCCCTCTCAAGATTGGAAAATTAACCTCGGACATATAAGACCTCAGTTCTTTAATGAAAAAAAAATTTTTTTTTGGTACCAGGAATTGAACTCGGGAGTACTCGACCACTGAGCCATATCCCCAGCCCTATTTTGTATTTTATTTAGAGTTGGTGAGGCTGGCTTTGAACTCACGATTCTCCTGTCTCAACCTCCCAACCTGCTGAGATTACAGGTGTGAGCCACTGTACCTGGCTTTTAATGAAAAAAAAAATTTTAATATATATTTTTTAAATGTTGATGAACCTTTTTCTTATTCATTTATTTGTATGTGGTGCTAAGAATCGAACTCAGTGCCTCACACATGCTAGGAAAGTGGTCTACCACTGAGCCACAAGCCCAGCCCATAATGAAAATATTTTAAAGCTCTAAAAGGCTAAAGAATGAGCTCTAATTTATCCAACTCCTTTATAAACTGTGCTAAATGTGTGTTTCCAATGGAAAAATTCTCCTAGGACCAACATGGTACCATTGAATAAGATCCTGATGGGAGTCTAGAGACCTGGCCTGGTTCAGGTCCCGATTCTGCCACTGCTGGGTTAAATGATTTTGGAAGGTCACTTTTTCTGGACTAAGGACCTCTGTTTCTAAGCTAACAGAGTTAGACTAAATCAATGTTTTCCAAATTAGGTTATTCAATGACAAACTAAATGTTACTTATTTTTACTCAATCTTTCGTGTATTCAATGAATAGCACTAGCTGAAAGCAGATTCCTTGGTCCCTCTGGGAAGATCTGACTTCTCTGGCTGAGATGGAGCCTTCACTGGGCTATAATCCTAAAAACCTGGTTTGCCAGCCTTATGATTTGAGTCCCTAGAACATTTGGAACATTGAAATCTTGCTCAGTCTTTCTGAACCTGCGCATTGAATTGAACTTTTTCAGACTTATAGCAGTTAAGTGGGAACTGTGCCTCCTTTCCCCTCTACAAAGGGAAGCTTTTGGGTTGGGAGGGTTCAGAGCAGGGGCTCCTTCCCTGACTCATCCTGTGTCTAGCTCATGAGTCCATGTTCAGGACTATAGGGATAGAAGGGCAGGAAGTCATGAGAAGAGAGATGATACAGCATGCTTAGCTGTGGAGAAAGATAGGGCCTGCTCTGTTGGCAATGTGCTCATTGGACTAGTTGGTGTGCCTAAGAGATACTCTTTGTGTAGTAGTGTGGCAAGAGGCTTAGGGTAAGCCCACCTACATGACAGAAGAGGTGGCTTCTATGGGGTGCAGTGTAGGAATGGGTTATTTTGATGTGAAATTCTAGATGAAGAATTTTATAGAGGTAGCTCCCATTGTGTGGTCTGTGGGGAAAAGTCAGATACTAATGTTCCTGACTATTATTCTTTTTTAAAAAAAATTTAAATAATATTATTGTATTTTCATACCTTTATTTTATTTATTTTTATGTGGTGCTGAGGATTGAACCCAGTACCTCATACATGCTAGGCAAGTGCTCAACCACTGAGCTGCAATCACTAGAAGCCCCCAGATTATTATTCTTAAATGAATGAATAAACTTAACATTCAGGTTCTTGGTGTGCCTCTACCATACCCAGAGACCTAGGCCACTTGCCAACCCTGCTGTCTCCATCTGTTATCTGGGAAACAAACATTGTCATGGGTTTTCAGCTGGATAGTCAGACCATCCTACAATAGGAAAGCTGGATGGCAAATAAAATCACAGGAAAAAGGTTCAGGATCTTTGCTCTCAGCTTATCCCTCAGAGGCTTAGTCTGCACTAGTATCTAACTGAACACATACACATAGTTTGCTTCCCCATGTATTCTATTACAGGGAATTTTCAGAAAGCAGAACAGTCAAGAAGAATCTTAAGGAATAACATGATAGTAAGGAGGCAACTCACTCTTGGATTGTGGTTTCTGTATCCGGATCCCATGTAAAGGAGGCCTCCGAAAATTGCACAGCTTTGTCTGTTGAAGAAAAGGCCCCCTCTTTTGGTTACCTGTAAGCCCCCATATATCTGCCTTCCCTTCCCCAGCCCTCGTGACTCTCCTTCCTCTATTAATTCCTAAGGTCACCTCTGTTAGAAGGCTCCTAGGATGAGAATAGAAGGGGCCTGCATATTTGAAGTCCTTTTTTATTTAGAAGTCCTCAACTTGGTAGCCCAGATTCCTAACCTGTAGACGCCCTGAGGACATCTCTAGGCTCTTTGTTGCCTAGTCTCCTTGTATGAGTTCACCTCCTTATACAAACCCTCCCCACCCTGGATTCCAGACCCACTACTCTCTCTGTTCAGAAACTGTCTTCCTTCACTCCAGGCTACCTTCCCAGCCCCACACATGTGGCTCCATCCTGACCTCTGCTTCCTGGATCCTTTGCAGGATTCTCTGGTTTTTCTCAGAACAGCTGGCCCAGCTTTGCTTAGCAATATAGCTAGGCAATCCACTCTGGGTGAAAACATAATTTAAGCTAACACATGCTTATTATACAAGCATAAGATCAAGACTAACCCTCCTTTAATTAGTTTGTTGCCATCCCCTCCCAAGCCCCGAATGTCAAAATTCTGGCACCAGCACTACAAATAATTTGGGGAAACAACTTCCAAATTGTTTACCAAAATTGCGGACATGTCGAATGGCAGATGTGTCCAAGTCATCCCCTCCCAAGTACTTCTCTAGCCGCCCTACAGAAACGGAGGCCTGGAAAGGACACAAAGGATCTCAAAAATATTTCAATAACTAACAAACAGGGAAAGGAACTTRTCATTACCCCTGGATTTGCCATTTTCCACATCTAGAACCTCCTGACCTTCACCACAGACTTAGCCACACTTCAGCCCTGGAAGCCATCCCCGGATAAAATCAAATTAAGACAGTATTTCAGCCCTTCAAGAAACACAAGGAGTTCAGCTCTACTGCTATCTCTGTCCAATCTCTGGCCCTGTTTCCAGAAACTGTCCCATGCCTTCTTCTAAGACAAAGCCCTAATTTCTACCTACTTCTGGTAACTGGGTCTCTGTCTTGCCCTTACTTAATTGAGTCTATTCTTTGATGATACCTCCAGCATCTTAACTGAGCTACCACTGGGATCCTCTATAAAGGAATTGACCAAAGCTTAAATTGAAGTTGACTTAAGTGTTGGCAGAACACCCAGTGGTTCCTGGAATGTGAAAGCTGAGGAGGTTTTCAAGAATTTTCTACAAGGACGTTTTTCATCATCCTTCCTATCTTCCAATGAGGTTGTCATAAGATGGTCCTCATGGACACCTGACTTGTTGAAGTATTATTAGGCTTTCTGCCTGTACCTTCCTTAGGGCCAACTGTAGGCTATAAAAAGTGCTTGTTTCAGCTCCTCAGAAACAAGAGTGTCCCACAGTCCATGCTGTATTATCATTCAAACCCTTTTGCTTCAGTGTTATACTGTGGGACAAGGAATGCAGGGAGCTGACACTCTTGTTGATCTTGCTTTTGCTATCTATGGAATAAACTATATCTGAAAAGAGCATATTGTYTCTTTATTGGCCAAATTGGGCAGCCTTTCTTCATTCTCTCCAGGACAAGGAGGCCTTCTCCTAAACYCCAGTCCTTCTGATGGCCAGAGCTGTCTGAAGCAGGTCACCACACTTCTTCTATTCCCCATCATTCTGCCCCCCTTATCAGTCTGCCACCTGCCTTGTGAACCAACTCTGAGGTCTGATCCTTGGCCCATCTCAGAGCTCAGTTTTCAGAATGCAGATACTTCCTCTAGCCCATCCAAGGCCTCCTAAACTTAAAACTCATCTTCTGACAGCAGAAGGCTCCAAATTTACCACTATATGGGTTTATGCAAAGAAAGGGTCTTTCTCTCCCTTTGTGCCATATTTGTCTAATGTATCAGCACCTCAAAAATCTTAGAAAAATCCATAGAAAATAGGATGGGAAAAGGGCTTTGAAATATTCCCAACAATAGGGCTCATCATAATAGACTTYACAAAATTCACAAGATTCCCTGTGAGGTAGATAATATTGGTATGATAATCCTAATTTTAGAGTGAGATATATTGAGGCTCAAGAGAATTTGTGATTTAAGTAAGATCAAACCATTGGCCTCCAGAGATCAAACAGATCTAACTGAAAGTTCACCAGCAGAAGCTAGAAATGGGACACAATAGTTATTCTGGCCTCTAGGGCTTTTACCCAGAGATAAGCAGTTAGCAGTGGAGTTCCTATGTACCTGGAGCACAGAGGAGATCACCATGGGAAGCATGCCCAGGGGAAAGCGCAGGATATTGAAGAGGGTGATGGAGGTGAAGGCCTTTTCTGCATCCAAAATATTGTTGCTATCCACCAGAACATAAACAGCAAACGTGATCACAGATACCTGGGAAGAGCAAGGTCATAAACGATCTGTTCTGAAAAGGATCCAACCAGCTCTGGGCTAAGCTTCAGAAACATAGTATATAAGCATTGGGAGAACCTTAAGGATTATCTCAGCTTCCTGTTACTGATGAGAAAACAGCCAAAGAGAGGAAGATATATCTTGCCCAAGTTTACAAAGCCAATTAACAGATTGCTAGGACCAGATTGGGTCTTCTTATGTCAATATTCCTCTCACCATAAACACAGATGGCCTCTCCCAAGAAGACAAGGAACCATCCTGTACACATCCACTCATGCTAAACATCCTGAAAGCTTTCTCTTGGTTACCAAAACAGCAAACAGCACACAAGGGTAGAACTAGAATTGGGACATAATGTAGGGATGATGATATGGAGGTTTGATGAGTGGGGATAAATTCCCTGGATTTCTGGATCAGGCCTACAGACACTGGGAATTTCTCAAGAATAGACATTCCACTTCAGGWAGCTGACCCAAATCTAAAACCTACCTAGTCCACTGACTCCTCTGCTACTCACCAAGACAGGAGTTACTTGTAAGATAAGTATCATTATAGACTGCAGCTGACCAAAGAACAGCAGGTTCTTGAGCTCTTTCTTCCGAAGGTTGTTTACTTGGTCTTTGAATGAAGGTTCCCAGGCAAAATATTTCAGGATCTAATAGGTTAGAAAAAAGCACATTCCACACTGTTGTCCTGAAAGGGCAGCAGGTATGTCTGATCTACCACATTTAAGGATATGCTCCCTTGTTTGGAATTTGGAAATCCAGATTATAAAGAATGATTACAGAGAGATATAGCTTGTATTTGTTGACAACTTGCTACCTACAAATAATTTTGCATCTATTATCTCATTGAGTCTTTATAGCAACCTGTCCCAGTTTGTCAGGGACTAAGGAGTTGCCAAGACATGGGTCCATTTGTGCTAGAACCTAGAAAGTTCTGGGAAAACCATGGTGAGTCAGTCAGTCTGCTTTTGTAGAAAATACAAGGAAAAAGAMTGAAAGAAGTGAAGTAACTTGCCCAAGGCCACCAAGCTAGCAAGTAGTTGAGCTGAGATTCAAAACCCAGTCTTTTAATTTTGTTCCATTAGTAGAAAGACAGATCAGAGCTCTGAATGGAAAAATATCAGGGAGTTTGAAAAAAAAAGCCTCTTTTTCATTTTTTTTAAAATTTGGGGTAATATTAAAATCCATGATTCAAAACACTTAAAAAAAACTTACTGGCCACCTTTAAAGAACAAAATGCATTATTTTAAAAGCTGGGAAATAAGAATTTATCTTGCCTATCCTGTACAAACTTTATTTTAAGGAACCAGCTAGTTGATAAAAGACAATTCTTTATAGAAATTCAAGTAATCAATTCACAAAGGAATAACAAAATTAAAATATCACTCACAAAATTTTCACCATTTTGCAACTCCTAATGAAAAAATAGGTCAAGAAACCATTATAAAATTTGTACGACCATATTTGTTTTTCACCTGGTTGCATATTAGAATTCTCCAGGAAGCTTTTCAAAAATGCAGGTGCTTAGGCCTCAACCTCAGAGAGTTCAATTTAAGTGAACTGAAGTGAGTCTCAAACTTCACAGGTGATCTAATGTGCTACCAGGGTCTCAAAGTGCTATCCCAGGTGAAAGAATAAACCATGCTGATAATGCCTGAGCTTGATGAGTGGCCACCCTTACTGCTATTTTGAAGCACACAGAAACACTTGAAAGTAACCTTTCATCCAAAGAAAATCAAATCCAAATCTAAGTAAATCTACTACCAATTTATAAGAAATACAGGAAACAAGGCAACTTGGTTCCTTCAAGATGACAGAGGAGTGTTGCAAATTAAGGTCACTACCARCAAAATGCCATAGGTGGACATTTTTTGGGTCTTTATTCAAATTAACAAAGTTAAAAAAAGAAGATGAGTATGAGGCAATCGGGAAATTGGCACAGAAGAATGATTGCTATTTTTATTTTTTAGGTGTAATATGGTATTATGGTTCTGTTAAAAAAACAATAAGGACGTCCTTTAGTAACACACAAAAAGTACTTACCAATGAAATGGCAAGACATCTGAGGTTTGCTTTAAAATAATCTCTCAGGTGTGACGGGTGAGGGGTGGACATACAGATGAAACTAGTTAGATCAGGCTGACAATGGCTGGGGCTAGGTCCATTCAGCTTCATTAATTATATCATTCTATTTTTGTGTAAGTTTAAAATTTTTTGCAGTAAAATGTAAAAACAAACCAAAATAAATGTAAATAAAAAATATATCAAGGTTTAAAAGAGAGCCTGGAAGGGATGATAGGAGATGAAACAGAACACTTAGGGGTAGACAAATCAGGAATCATGAGACATACAGTAAAGGCCACGGAGCAGGAAGCCACAATCTCTACTAGAGTTTATTAAGGGCCAAGAAATTCACTGCTTCTGCCATTGCAACCAGAGGGCTACCAACATCAGGCTTCTTACCTTGATTCCGCTGAGAATCTCATTCATGATTTTCAAACGTCTGTCTTTATTTTTCATATTTTGGAACTGCCAGGAAAAGCAAAATAAACAAAATATGCTTCCATGAGTAAGGGCCCAGGTTTGCAGCAGGCACTAGTCCTCAGTAATACTCAAGACTGTCATTTGGAGCTTGAGGTGCCCGGTGATGGCATTCATCTCTCTCCACTCTCCCCTCTGCCCACTCTAGTCCATCTGTCCCTACTTTCCTTCTGATCCTGAAACATGCCCATCTTGTTTCTGCCTCACCATCTCCATCTGACTAGTGTCTTATTAGGTCATTCCTCCCTTCCCCTGACCAAGGCTTGCCTCTCATGGTCAGACTTGTGACTGGTTTAAACGTCCCTTTCTCACAGAGGACTGGCTCTCTTGACCTCCTAATTGAAAACAACTACCCGCTCACTCCCTATATTTCACCCTTAGTTCTCTGTATAGTACTTATCATGATCTGGTATTTTTCTTCTTCTTGTACTGTCTGTCTCCCCACCCCCAAGCAGAATATAAGATTCAAAAGAAYAGGAACCTTGTCTGATTTGCTGCCGTGTTCTCAGAAAAGTAAGATGTGCAACAAATATTTTTAAAACTATTATTTGTAATGAAATAAATGCAAAACATGTGAAGGAATAAGTCATGAACACCATCAAGTCAACCCACCAAGCCTGTGATTCCTGGAAGAACTAAGGACTGTCCATGTGGAGACCTCCCACCTGCCTGGTTGAAGCAGGGTCATTGCCAGGACTTAAGAGTTGGGATYGCTCATGTGACTGCTCTAAGTGTTTGGTTTTATCACTAGGATAGATAAACAGAGTCAAAAATCCCTGTTCTGAGGATAGCCCAGCAGAGCAGGGTAAAAGAGTTATGTGCCAGTTCTCCAGGGCACCTTTCCCTCTTCAGTCAAGCTCTTCCCTCTAATATGAATGAAAACCATATAAACCCTAAGAGTGGTCAGAAGATGAAAAGAGAAAACAGAGAAAGCCAAGTATATTCGGGATGATGGAAAGTCTTGAACTAGCTTTGCTTTGTCCTAACTCCTTAAAGAATTAGAGCAACTAAAAATGTTTACACTTAAAGAAAGCATCACTGGGATGACTGTTTCTTTACCTGAATACTCCTATTCTTGGTGGCCAAAAATCCATTAAGTGGGATAAGGAGAACCATCACCCCAACACCTGCTAAGACTGAGGGTCCCAATTCACTCCATAAGAAGAAGATGGATAAGACAATCTGTAGAAAAGTTGACCACAGCAAGTGCAGGTAGTTGAACACATCCATGAGCTTCTGGGCATCCACAGACATCAGGTTCACTGTCTCACCAATGGAGTACTTCTTTCTGGCCAAGTTGGATAAGGTCAGTGCCTAAAGATAAATTTAGGTCAAAATTGGGATCCATGAGCAAGGCCCAGAATATTGGGGAGGAGAAGTAGAAACACAGGAAATGAGAACACAATGGAAGGATGTGGACACAACTTCTTCAAGGGACGGTGACTCCTTGCCTCCAAATCTTACACATGCTATTCTCTCATTCTTGACTATACTTGCCTCTTATTTCCACCTTTCCCCAACCCCACTTATCCACACACTTCTTAGACCAGAACACTCCTATTAATCCTTTGGAGTCAATTTAGATACAACTTCTGAGAAGACCCCCCTGACTCCAAAATTTAGGATAGATACCTCTTCTGTGTACTCCTAAGAATTCTGTGCTTACCTTTTTCATTACCTTCATTACAATGAACTGTAATCAATTTGTTTTTCTATTTCTGTACTAGAGGTAAACCCTGTGAGGACAAGGACTACATCTGTCCATTTCACTACTATATTATGTGCACTCAGTAGGGAATCAAATACTAAAGAATGGGAGAAAAGAAAGGATGGGATGGAGGGAGGAAATCAGCATGTATTGATTCTAGCCTTGGAGACTTTTGAAGTAGCAAAGTTATTTGCAGCTATACTCTCATATTGAGGTTTGCAAGCATTCCCAAGAAGCACAGAGATTTTAGAATGGAGAGGAAAGCTGCAGAGTTTACATATCTGAAGTAAAATGACTTGACAATTGTTAGGAATTTATAGGTAATACTCAGAGGCCTGAATCTTATAATGTGGGCTTCCTGCTCTCATATTAGAGAATTCATAAGGCTAATACCCACACGTCTGTCACAACGATGCTTTACACAAATACACCAGAGCACTGAAACTAGCTTATACTATGTTCACAAAGGCACCATCTGGTGTGGCCTGCATCTTCTCATTAGAATGAACCACCTTCTAATTCTCACAGAAACAGCATATGGGCTGTGACTGACCCTAGATGCCCACCTCCATCCTACTCCTAGAAAGCTCTACTGCCATCTTAATCCAACAATACATTCTTTCAAACATGCTGGAATTCTTGATTGTATAGTAAAAAGAGAGAGAGATTTCTAAAATATTAGGCTACCAAGGTTCAAGAGGAATCATGACCAGCTTCTTTTCCGCCTTTACTTTTTCTGTCAAGGCATTTTAACGTTGTCAAGAGAGAGGCAGAAAGAGAGGCACAAGTATCTAAGTCCTGTAGGCTGAAAGGCAGATCCTAGGCAGCTTGCTAGCTTCCTAAGCTCACCTCCCTATGTCTAGAAACACACTTTTCATATTCAGTTTCCAAAGAAACATTTAAAGGAGTCTGTATGGCTAATCAAAATCAAGTATTGATATCAGTTATCATCTCCATCAAGTTTCCTTAATCTTGGAATAAATGCTCATGTTGGCTAAGGGAACTGTCTTTTATGATATATGACATAGTCTGCTTACCTTCTTATACACAGARGCTATGACCGTTGTCCGTACACTCATCCCCACTATGAAGCACAATTGAAAATAAGACTGAAGGCAGAGAGACTGGATGAGAGACACAGCAAACAAGAGGATGGCATAGACATATCCGGTCCATGCATACATGTCACGGTCACTTACAAAGGAAATCAGCAATCTGCCAGAGCAAAACCAAGTAAATGATGCCCATTAGTTAGGTCTCCAAAGGCTCCTCACTCTCCTCATGTACAGCCAACTGCCMTACTCTTATATCCTGGGTAACAAAAATGATCAGAATCACCCAATGCCTTTGGAAGACCCAAGAACAGTCTTGCCAATGTTCTTGCTTTTATTTGGAGATGGCTAGCAAGAGCTTAAGATTGATAACCTATGGCTGTGAGAATGGATAATTATTGAAATGCTCCAGGTAAATGACACTCTAGTGCTTTGGCCCTGTCTTGTCCCAMTCCTGGGTAAAAGTTAGCTTGTGGGACAAGTTAATCATTTCCTGACAATGAAACCCTAAAAATTAGGACAAGTATCCAGAATGAGTTAAAAGGGCTTCCCTTATGGTGGTCCATTTCAGATCATGCCAGACACAAAGTTTATCTTATTAGTCTGAAACTCTTAGGAAAGGCTGTGGCTGTGGGCAGAGATGAAGTTAGTTGCTCCCCCGGGTGTGCTGTCCACCTTTGGGCATGGCTCAGATCATAGCAGTTCTGTTGAACAAGAAAGAGGCCTAACCTGTGTCTGACCTCCTATAAAGTGGTAGTGCGGTATATGAAAAAGAGAGACATATGTATATATCAGCTTAAATCTTGAAAAATTCTTTGTGCTCTACAAGAACTCAAAGCTGTTAGGAGAAAAAAATTATGAGCATTTTTTAAAATGAGAATTTAACCAGGCATAGTGGTACAGGCCTGTTATCCTAGTGACACAGGAAGCTGAGGCAGGAAGATCACAAGTTCCAGGCCACCCTGGGCAACTAGCAAGATCCTGCCTCAAAATAAAAAACAAAAAGCATTGGCAATGTAGCTCAGGAGTAAAGTGCCCCTGGGTCTACTCCCAATTCTGCCAGAAAGAAAGAAAGAAAGAAAGAAAGAAAGAAAGAAAGAAAGAAAGAAAGAAAGAAAGAAAGAAAGAAAGAAAGAGTATTATTAAAGCTCTTGCCTGCCTACACAAAAGGCAAAAGGGAGGGTGGCAGAGGTAACCCTGAAGGTATAACCCAAGGCCTGGGGACTCACTTCAGCAGCTGAGGATTTAGAAACATGAAGATATCATGTACTAGCTTCAGGAAGAATGATTTCAGGAGCATGATCCAGAAAGTCTTGAAGAGGGTTTTAATTAACCAGGACTTGGGAAAGTCTTCTGTGGGCCCAGACTTCTTCTTCTTTTTCTTTTTAGTTTCTTCCTAGATACAGAACCAAATATCAGAGTCCACAGAGTTGTGCAGTACAAGATCTTGTTCCTGCCCTGAACAGCTCCAGATTTCTAGCAGTGCCTGTGAGCCCTGTTCCCTTCTCTGTATAGCTCTTAACTTACTCTTCATCACCCAGCTGGCCCTCTCCTGTTCCTCTCTCCCATTCTAACTGATATTGTAATCTATTTTGGTTTAGGAAAGCAGGCAACTGTAAAACAAAAACAGAGGGCCTAAGGGGCAATCCTGAGAGGGAAGGACATGGATATGATAATATCATTTTTTAATTCTTAGGTGTCTTTTTTTCCCTTGCTTATGGTTTTTGGAAGATGTTATGGATTGAATTGTATCCCCCTCACCCCAACAAAAGATATGTTGAAATCCTAACCTTTAGCAACTTAGAACGTGCTCTTATTTGGAAATGAGATTTTTGCTGGTGTAATCAAGTTAACATGAGGTCCTTAGGGTGAGCTGTAATCCAATATGACTGGTGTCCTCATAAGAAGAGAAGAGACAGACACAGGGAGAATGTGGCCATGAGATACCAGAGATGGGGAATAGAATGATGCATCTACAGGCCATGGAATGCCCAGGATTTCTGGCAAAAAAAYAGAAGAAGGGAGAGGCAAGAAGAGCTCTCTGTTACAGGTTTCAGAGGGAGAATGATTCTGCTGATATCTTGATGTCACACTTTTGGCCTCCTAATCTGTGAGATAATAAACTTGTCTCTCTGTGTGCAGGGCATCCAGCATGCTAAGCAGGTGCTCTACTCCTGAGCTACACCATCAACCTATACTGTTTAATGCCTTCACTTTGGGGTACTTTGTTATGGCAGCCCTACAAAACTAATATCCGGGGCAATAACGACTCATTTACCACCCTCTTTTTCCAGTGTTTTGGCCTCATGTCCCCAATTCCGGCTTCTTATTAGCTGCTAGTGATAACTCCTATCAAGATACAAATATTGTAAGGCTAAGATATTATTTAGGGGAAAAAATTAGTGGACCTTTTTACACATACTCAAAAGGAGAGAGAATAGTACATTATACCTCCATGTATCTATCSTTACTGGTATTGTGAATACTACCAATAATATAAAATACACTTAAAAGTACGAAGTACTGAAAAACATAGGACGATAACCACCATGATACCCCTTCTTGCCTGAAACATACAGTACACTCACACAGACACTTATGGGAAAGTTACCAGGACAAGGACATCTTGGCTTTGACTCTGGTTCTTGTTCAAGTCATGCAATGTGGCTCCAGAGTTCCGCTGGGATTTCTTCTGCTGCCGTTTCTGGAAGGCCCGCCTGGCTTTCTGCAGCTCCTTTGCCATGAATATTTCAAATCTGTTCTCTACTGTCTTGACTTTAAGTCCTTCATCAATATCCCAGACATCTTCAAGTGTCAAAGGTTGCTTGTAACCTTTCAGAACTATGCTGGAACAAGAGTGACCCAAAGGCTGAGACCCCATAGGCTGAATCACAGGTGGCCTCTCTGCTGCTTCTATTGAAACCTGCTTGCCAGATCTGGGATATAGGGGTAAAGAATGGGACTTCTCCACTGCTCCACTATCCCCATCTCTTGGATATTTGAAGTTGACACAGGAGTAGGGAGAACAGAAAAGGGAATGTGCAGGGATAATAGAATGTGTTCAAAGACAGCAAGACAAGAGGAAAAGAATTGGCCTTACTTTGTTAAGATCCCCAATCCATCACCTTCCTCTGCTTCTGACCCCTTCCTCCTCTAATACTGGCTGTGTCTCTGCACTCTGGCTCTCCTTCAGGGGATTCCATAATGCCCTTAGAAAGTAGAGTGGGCCTCATGGCTGCCTCTACACTATGTCTCTAGCTCAGGGCTCCCCAAACTGGGTTTTGAGAACATGGTAGAAAATAAATGACATCTTTCTTTGTAATAGCTTCTAACTGAAATCCAGCTTTTCCTTCTAATAAGAGTATAACACGGTACTTTGTCACTAGGAGACAGCAAAAATGTTTCCATGACTAATTTATATTCATCACTACTTTAACATTAAGGTCATTATTAGACCCACCACTAGATCTTGTTATTTAATGTATTGATTTAAAAGCACATGTATTAAAATGTCACAAATTTGCTTTTAAAATATTTTGATAACTATACTTTGATGTAGTTTATTTCTTTTGTATTCCTGTGTCTTTTACCTTATGCATTTAAAATATTATCTGAAAAGGGATTCATGGGCTCCACCAGTCTGCCAAAAGGGTCCATGGAACCACAAAGGCCAGGGATACTTGTTCCACATCCTCTGACAGCCAGGCGAGCTATTTCATCCCTTACCCTCCAAACCTGTGCCATGCTGCCTGCCTCCAACTTTCCCCTTTCCTGTCCTGCTTTTTTCTCTTTTCCTGTGGAACTCCCAGGCTACCAAGAGCATTCCCTCCCACTCTCTCTTCAGCATGCTAATCTGCCTAATAAATGGGGCTGAATCAAACTGACCTGTAAATCTTACTTTTTTTGGTCATTGTTGTTGCTGGGGATGGAACCTAGGGCCTCATGCAGGCCAGGCAAGTGCTCTAACACTGAGCTACATCCCCAGCCATATGACCTATAAATTTTAACACCCTATGACTCTAAGTAGAAAATAAATGGAGGCCACAGGAGGAGTTTTTGTTTATTTGTGGGTTTTTTTGTTATGTTTTGTTTTGTTTTTGATTTTCTAAATTAAGCTTTCCTTCACTTTCAGAAAAGTGAAGGGGTAGAAACATAGAAAACCCATACTCCAGGCATTTCCTACCTGTCATACCAACTAAAGGTAATGCTACTCAGAAATGAAGCCGTGGATGATGGATTCTGAAAGATACAAAAAATTTTAAAGTAAATCAATTGGAAAAAGGAACTTATGGGACTCCACAATCAGAAGTTGATTTTTCTAGGTATGATATGCTAGAAACTAGATATAATGCTAAAGTCAGTTGGTCAATATGCTAATTTGGAGATCCTAAGATAACTACTAATGGGATGGTAATCAGATTTTCTGTCATAGATGTATGAATTAATTGCCTATGTCAAAGATTGATGGGTGAATATAAAAGTCAGTATTTCAATATGTTCATCCCTATTTCCTTAGGTATAAAATATTCTATATTATAAGTTGAGCATCCCTCATCCAAAACACTTGGGATCAGGAATATTTCTGATTTTGACGATTTTCAGGTTGTACAATATTACACAGACTTTCTGAATTTTTCAGATTGGGAACATTTATTGATTTCAGATTTTCAGACTAGGGATGCTCAACCAGTATCTTATTCTGGGCTCATGGAATCTCTATGATACCTAGGTATCTTAAAGTGTTATTTGTTAAGATATCCTCCAATTAAAGAATATATGAAATGGGAATATTTAGAGTCTCACATTTGATGAGTCACTTTTTTCTGAAAATGTATAAAGGATCAGGATCAAGATCTGGAATCCATATGAGATGATGAACAGGCAGGAATAGGCCAGATTGGAATTGCTATCCTGTGGGGTTAAAAAGAAAAAAAAAAAAGAAGAAGAAGAAAATGAGCCTTTTCTCCACATTAAGACTAACTAGCCCATAAAATATCAAAGCTATAGTTAAAGCCTGTTATCATATCTCCATAATACAATTCTGTCTTGGAGTCAAACTTCTTGATGTCACTTACTCTGACTCAGAAGTCACCAGGAGTACCTCTTCATGTCACCCTCTCTTTTCCCCTTACCTGCAGGAGTGCCCGAATCAGAGTCTGAAATTGGAAAGTGCCACAGAGTATTGAGAGAATCCAGAATAGGGACAGGAACCAAGAGTTCTTCTGTATACACCATTGCCTGCTGTCTTGGATCAGCAAAACCAGGAGCTAGAGAGATTCACATAACATTGTGAAAAATAATGTCATTAACCAAGGGCAGGAAGGGAGAAGGATGTCAGAAAACATGGGGAAAAGGGGGAGTGGTGAACCTAGTCTGGCCAGGCAGACAGCACACAAATGCCAAATTGTTTCCTCCCTAATACCAATTCCTTTCTAGAGCCTAATCTCTATTTACCACACTTGGGTGGGAAGTAAGCCAGAAAAGCAGAAGGTCACTATATGCATTTTAGTGGAGGTTTAATAACCTTTTAAAGAGCAAAAGAAATGAATATCAGGTAGCAGTCAAGTCAAGCAGGCAAATTCTGATAAATAGGTACAAGTTGTCTGTGTCTTGATTTTCTGATATTGGATTGAACAAGTAATTTTTTTTATTAGTTGCTTATGACAATACAATGATCTTGACATTTTTAAAAACCTAAATCCTTGCCTTGTATCATCATTTGACTTAGATATATTGGTACCATAGACCTGGTGCTATTTGTTAGTAAATCGGAATTTTTGAGGAAAAAAGTGCCAGGATTTATAGTATTTGAAAATTTTCATGGTGTAAATACTCCCACTATGGTATATTCCAAATTCCAACATAATATCACTAAATGCAGGTTTAAAAAGAGATATACACAATCAGCTCAGTTTGTGTGAGCTTCAGTACACTAGTGTCTAGACCCTTCTTTGCTTGTTCTATAACAGTGATAGCCAATAAAAATGCCTGGAGAGGCCGGAAGATCATATTTCTGAGTAAAGGTCAGGTAAGAGAAGCAGGAAGCTATGCCAAGCACAGTCTAAAGGAGGCAACTGCTTTTCAGTCTCAGCGGACTGCTGCCCTGTGGGAATGCAGATCCATGGTTAATCAGACATTTTGATTTTTCAAGAAAGCTTGCAAATACAAATAATGATGTGTCATCCTCCTCTTTTAAAATGAAAGCAACTAATTCAATTATTTTTAAACACTGTACAGACCCCCTAAACACATACCTGCAGGAGAGATATGTTTCTGTTTTTTTTTTTTTTTTAAGAGAGAGAATTTTAATATTTATTTTTTAGTTTTCGGCRGACACAACATCTTTGTTTGTATGTGGTGCTGAGGATCAAACCCGGGCCGCATGCATGCCAGGTGAGCGCGMTACTGCTTGAGCCACATCCCCAGCCCCGAGAGATATGTTTCTGATATCAAATTTACACAATAGCTCTAGACTTAGTGATTAGTGACCAATCAATTTAAAATAACATTTACAACATTTAAAAATTCTTTCACATCAAGAAACTTAGACATCATCTGTGACACTTAGATAGCAAGATATGAAGGCATAAGGTTGAAGAAAGCTCTATAAATTAGTGTTCAAAAGAAGAGGAAAAGTTAGTTTGTTTTACCCTATTACAACCAATCTGTGCTTCACTATAAGTCCTTGAAAAAGATAAAATTGGCCTTAATTTCATCCCCAAAGAATATACGTCATATATAGATGTTTATGGATAGAAGATTAAACAGGGTGGAAGTGGCGGTGGGTCTTACCCATGTGCACAGGTAGAGGATTGGATTGGTATATCTAACAGGAGGGATTGTGGCTTCTCCAGAGTCTTCTGTGAGTACAAGGGCCAACTCTATGGCTGCTAAAATGAGAAGAAACCCAACAAGCACCTGAGAAGGGRAAAAAAACATTGTTAGGAGCAGGTCATTCTTCTTCTTTTTAGATTTCTTCTTTTTTTTTTTATTGGTGCAATACCTAATAACAGGATTCACTCTTACATATTCATACATGTATATTACACAATTCTGCAGATTTCATTCCTCAGTGCCTCTTCTTTCACACTCCTCCTCCCTTCACCAACCCCTTCCTCTATTCTACTGGTTTCCCTTCTATTTTTATGAGATACCCCCCCCCCGCCTTTCTCCCCATTTTTCTCTCTAACTTCCACATATGAGAGAAAACATAAGAACCTTAATTTTCTGAGTCTGGCTTATTTTGCTTAACATAAGAGCATGTCATTCTTTGTAAGACTCTTAATACCGAATGATTTCCAGTAATGGATAGAGAAAAAAAAAAATGGTACGTAGTGACATAGTTATAGTGGTAGAGATAACACAATAAATATTTCTGAAGTAAATGAATTCATATAGTTTAAGTAATGAAATAAAGTTCAAAGCTTGCCATGATGAACGTTTCTGAGTAATTCTGAGGGTGATGACTTTAAAATATGTCCACAAATTTTTCATACTCCTCTCTTCACAATGTAGAGCTCAGTTCCCCTTCCCTTTAGAGTGGGCTGGACTCAGTGACTATTTCTAATGATAGAAAATGGTGGAAGTATGACTTTTAAGACTCAGACCATAAAAAGCAGTGGGCTTCTTTCTCCTTGTTTTCTCTCAGATCACTAATCTGGGGAAAGCTACCAGCTCAAAATGACTCATTTAGTACATTTATTTATCTCTCAACCCTTCTCATCTAATTAAAATGATAGTGAAATAGTACCCAGGAAGTAAATTCATAATAGTAACGAGAATGTAAATGGAGAAGAGTAAGCAGGGTACCCCCAACTTGGATAATGACAGAGGGACTCACTCTGAACATCTGTGTTAAATAACTTGGCCTTTTTTATTAAAACACATACAGAACTAAATTTCCAGGAAGTTTAGAAAAACCCAGTACTAGCAAAGACAGCCAAAATGATTAAATAGAACAATCAATTCTGGGATAAAACAAACATGATAAGTGAACAGAAGAGAATTTAATATATTTTAAAATTAATATTCTAAGAGAGATTTTATTTTTTTCCTCCTACAATTTGAGAAGACACTGCATCCAGAAAGAGGTGTTTTTTTTTTTTTAAGGTATATTCAGAAGTTAATTTTTCTAGGCACTGGGGATTAAATCAAAGGGTGCTTTGCCACTGAGCTACATTCCCCGCCCTTTTTATTTTTAATTTTATGATAGGATCTTGGTAAATTGTTTAGGGTCTCCCTAAATTGCTGAGGCTGACCTTGAACTTGTGATCCCCATGTCAGCCTCCCAAGTCTCTAGGATTACAGGTCACTGCACCAGTATAGTTAACAATTCTTGTTTATTCATAATTGCTATAAAAATGTTCTTTAGGATAACTGGAAGAAAATATTGAGGAAATCTGAAGGGGAAAAGGAAAAATAGTTGGGCGGGGGTACAATTGAGGAGGAAGATCAATTCAGAGAACTCAACATCTAGCTAAAAGAAGTTTCTAGAGAAACAGAATTTCAAAAAGAGAAGAAATGAAAAGAGTAAAATATGAACATTTCTCAGAGATAAGACATGAGCTAGTCAAGGTGGCTCTGCCTTACATTTCCCCTATAATTTAGGAGGCTATGACAGGAGTATTGTGAGTTCAAGACCAGACTGGGCAATATCCTCCAGGAAAAAAGAAAAAGAAAAGAAAGAAAAGAAGGGAAAGAAAAAATAGGTCTTCAGGTTTCAGGTTTACTGAATGGAAAAAAAAAAACCATGAAGACAGATGCTCATGAAATTTTAAGACATGAAGAATAAAGTGCATAAAAGCTTCTATAGAGGAAAACAGGAATGAGAATTCTAATTCAGTAACAGAGGATGTTGGGGAACATTGTAGCAATACGCTCTTAGTGAAAACAAAAAAAAAAAATTAAAACTAGCATCTAGAAAGTAAGGACTTAGAGACTTAATTTATTGTCACTCTTTCTGAAAATTTTATTTGAAAATATTCTCCTATAAAAGGGATCCAAGAAATTTTTTTTAAAAAAATTTATTTTTTAGTTTTAGGTGGACACAATATCTTTATTTTATATTTATGTGGTGCTGAGGACCGAACCCAGTGCCTCTTGCATGCTAGGCAAGCGTTCTACCACTGAGCCACAATCCCAGCC